ACAGGGAGTTAGTACACATTCTAGAAACCTGTGAAGTTCAGTGTGTGTGTGTGTAGATACACTATATAAAATGTGTGCACCACCACTGCCCCACTATATAGTTTTGGTTTTTTGAGACATGGTTTGTATAGTCTGGGCTCTCCTAGAACTAGTTCTGTAGATCAGGTTGGCCTCAAACTCAGTTTTTATATAACATTCTTTTGTACTTACTTAGGTTGCTTTTCCAGCATTTGGAGGGAAATCTTTACCCCCACAGATGAGCTAGAATTTTTTTAAAGCTTGTATTGTGTTTAATTAGTGTCTATGTGTGTGCTGTGGAGGCCAGAGGACAGCTGAAGTGTTCTTTTCCCCCATGTGGGTCACTGGGATTGAGCTCAGGTCAGTCTTGGTGGCAAGTGTCTTTACCTGCTGAGCCATTTTGATGGTCCTGTGTCAGTTTTCTTCCTAAGTTAATTTTTATATAGTTGTAATGCATACAAGTTTGCAGATTCCTGTTTTTCCCTATAACATAAATATTCAAAGATAAAAAATCTGATGGAGGTGGGCATTATATGGCTGTGATAGTCACATAGGTCTATAACCTAGCACTTGTGAGTGCTGGGCCAGCTTTAGCTATGTAAGGCCATCTCTGATGTGAATGTTGAGTGTACTCATAAAGTTAATTTGGTGTCAGAATTTATAATCTACTTTAAATTTTTTATTTGAAAAAAACTGTAAAAAAATGCAAATGTTATAACATTCAAGTCCACAACCTGAAGCCGGCTTTCTCTTACAACTCAGGAGCTTTGAAGAGACTCAAATCTTTCTGTAGCTATGCCATGAGGGTGACTCATTTCAGGGTAGAGACAGCACACAACACTGACATCCTCTGTTTATTAGGAAAAAACAGCACTTGTTCCAAAGGAACTAAATGTTTTGTTTTCTAACTAGGATTCTGAGGAAGGCTGGGCTGGCCAGAGCCTGGTCTACCTACCTTGTCTAGAGCACAAGGTTGTAGGCTGCCATGACGGGCTTTGGAAGTGTTCAGCCAGACCTGAGTGTCGGTGTCTCTGTCCTTGAAAGAGACCTACGATTCTGCTTCAGTTGCTATGAATGACTTGTATTTTACACTTTAGGAAAAAAACTCTTTCTTGTAATTTCCATGTAGGGAAAGTGGGGAATGACTGCTCCTCTAGAAGGAAGAGGCCTTGGAAGGGCTGCGGTCTGTGAGCTTTGCAATCTCTTGACAATCAAAGGCAATTACCTGAAACCTTGGAAGTCACACAGATGGAATTATCCTAAAGAGGGACTTAGTGGAAGGAGGCTAAGCTTGTCCTGTAGGATAACTTGACGATCTGTTCACAACAATAATGTGGTACCTGGGCCATTGTGAACCGTTTAGATGTAAGCATTTGACAGGAGTCTAGGGAAGTTAGTGAAGTGCCTGCCTGCAAGGATGACGACCTTAGTTCCAGCTGGGTGAGCTGACATGCATCTGTAATGGTAGCGCTGGGAGGCAGACAGGAAAGAGAATCTGTGCAGTGAATTTGTGAGCCCCAGGTTCAGTGAGAACCCTAACTCAGACACTGAGGCTCAGCGATGGCTAGCAGTTATCGACTGCTCTTCCAGAGGACCAGGGTTCAATTCCCAGCAGACCCATTCAGACCTCCAGGGGCACCAGGCATGCAGGCAAAACACACACAAAACACAAGTGGGAAGAAATAGAGGAAGACACCCAACATAGACTTCTGGCCTCAATATGGCACATACATGTACCCAAATTCTTAAACTCACATGTGTGCACTTAACATGTAAACACACAAAGAGAAAACAGGTAGATAGGTGTGTCATATATCAAAGCATTTCTGGAGAAAAGCAATCACTTATGGTTTCACTGACTTGACACAGTAGAAACATTTACTTGACTGGCATGTAGGCTTAGCTTTGACTTCTGCCCTGAACAAACAGTGTCTCCTGGCTTTCCTATTTATATACAACACAACCTCCCCCCTTCCACATTCCTGAGGCGGTGACTCATGTTGTTTCTCTGGGCATCTTGGCATTATAGGTCAGTCTCAGGTTTGGGTGGAGATACAGTCATTTAAAGTCTGAAGATTCCTGACAATTACCAATTAACTTCTAGTTAAAAATTTTTCCTAAAGCCCGTCCTTTGACTATTGTGCCTGGCAGGCAGCCCAGACCTGAGCTCAGTGCCAGAGAGGCAGCACCAGTACCAGAGCTGGAGGGGCCCCAGGCAGATCTGCTTTGCACTTGCTGTGACTCCCCTTGAATCTGGTTGGCCGCCCCCCCCCCCAAAAAAATCACATTTGTTTGACTGTCACAGTAGCCATGAGAGAGGACAACGAGAAATGTATCAGGTTTTTCATGGATCCATCTTACGGAGGTTTATTTACATCTCTCCTAGCAGCTGACCCCTCTCAGGTATAGACAGCTGCCTGTTTAAACCTATATTCCCTCACATAGCTCCTTCCTTGAAATCTGTAGTCATTGAGCACTGACCCTATACCACTTAATTAGCATTGTGCTTCTTAAAGATGTTTTTAGACTATGGAGGAGAAGGTGATGAATTCATGGCTCAAAGACGGAGCTCCATGAATGGCAGAGAAGCCTGAACTAATTATGCCTGTTTTATACTTTTCTCTTGACCAGACTCATTCTCAAATGTAGGTGAAACAATTTAGCTTGTTGGGCAAGTATTTGTGTTGATAGTGTTGTTCAGGGCTTGGGGATTTGGGTAAAAGGTAAAACAGATATTTAAACTTTAAAATCTATTTTTTTCCATTCTAAAAACGGCTCTCCCTGTTTTATGGTGTCAAACCTAGTCCCCACTACACACACATATTAGTCAGGTACCACTAAGCTACACATCCTTAGGCCCCAAATAACTGACCCCCTCGGCTCCAGTTTACAGTGGCAAGTGGGGAAACCTGCGAGACAGTTGCAATATTAATAAGGTCAGCATTGGACAAAACAGAAATAAACAAGCTGCAAAATGTTTTGCTTACCAGTTTATTTCCAGGTGAGATGATTTTATCATCTAATGGAGATTACTATATCATTTAGTGAAAACTAAATATAATTTTAGACTGTAGCCCTGACTGGCTATACCCTACTGTAGGCTAAGTGGTTGGGGTGCTATAATTGATGACATAGGGAGCTTTCACAAACAGAGTCAGGTTTCAGTGAGGACCCTCCTCTTGGCTGCAAACTACTGACTTCTGCTGTAGCCTTACAGGATGCAAGTGATCCTGGAGCTTTTGAGTCTCACCCAAGAGCACTGGTCCCATTTATGAAGGCTTTGCCTCCATGACCAAAAGGCCTGATCACCTCTTTGGGTGTTAGAATCTGAGGGCATGATCCTTGGTAATACAAGCAAGGGGAAAAATACCCAAATTGTGTCAAATGTTTAAAAAGCCCAAAGGCATGAATTTGGAAGGCATCTGCACTTTTGCCTGTAGGTGGATTGGGCAGCTTCTTCCACCATCTTCTCTAGGTGTAACTATTGGTTGGTCAAGGCCTCTTCTAAGGAATAAGAAGTTGCCTGTATAATCTACATTTCTTACAATAACTGCAGAGAGCTTGTCTCCCGATCTTTTTCTCCAACTTGATGGACACTTGGTCTTGCAGTAAGCAGGGAGGTTCACCAGCATTTTCTAGAATCTTACCTGAAGAGTGGCTTGATAGACACAGAACTGCTTTTTGGGATTCTGGTTGGTCACTAAGGCTAAAACTTGGCTTGCTGAGATCTTAAGTCACTGCACTCACTAGAGCAGCAGTTCTCAACACCTTTGGGGGTCCCCTAAGACTATTAGAAAACACAGTTGCTCTTGTTTGAGGATAGCAGAACTCTTGGGTAAACAGGTTAGCTAAGCAAACAGCCCTTAGATGAGCTAAGTAGGAAACAAGAGAAGTCTTGCCTAGAACAATGGCAAACTCTTGTCTGAATTCTAGTTTATCCCAAGACTAGGAACAAATGACAGCACTACACACTACCAGAATTTTAACTCAAACTCAAAGGAAGAACTACCGTGAAATCCTGTCTAGAGTCACACTGAGGCCCTGCTTCACACGTTGAAGGGCACGGAATAGCTAAATAGGCAATAAATTCTTCTAAATACAAGTTCTGGGGCAATATTTGTGGCAGTGTGTGTGTGTGTGTACGCGTGTGCGCGCGCGCACACACACACACACACTTTAAAGTAGTAACTTAGACAATGCTTGCCTAAAGTTCTATTTCCTATGTAAATATTCTGATAATCTAAATCTCTTTAGAGGTGTGGTGAGACTCAAGTTTTCTGTTTGCTTGTTAAATGAACTATTCTCCCCTTCCCCCTTTTCTATTAGCTTTATCTTCAAGCCAGGATGAAGGGAGACTGGGCAAGACTCTTACGCCCCACACTGCAGTTTGGTCTTGTTGCTTTATCCATATATGTGGGCCTTTCTCGAATTTCTGATTATAAACACCACTGGAGTGACGTGTTGGTCGGATTCATTCAAGGAGCTGTGGTTGCAATATTAGTTGTAAGTATACAGAACAGCAGCCTGCATGCTGACCCTGCTAAAATAAACATTTTGAAAAATCTGCAGTGAGAAACCTGACAAGGTAGAAAATGTGGCTCAATAATTCTGGGTAAGAATCCTGTTTTTTGTTTGTTTTGGTTTTTTGAGACAGGGTTTCTCTGTGTAGCCCTGGCTGTCCTGGAACTTGCTCTATAGTAGACCAGACTGGTCTTGAACTCACAGAGATCCACCTGCCTCCTGAGTGCTGGATTAAAGCCTTGTGCCACCTATATCACCACGCCTGGTAATGACTCCCAGCTTTAATAAAATCTTGCAGGATAGGTCAGACGGGTAAAAATTACTTCTTTGTGAAAGTTGTAAACTTCATAGTGCTTTTTCTGTCAAAAACAGAGTAAACAAGTTTCTTTTTGCATGAATTGAAAATGAATTCACGTAATGAGTTGCTTTTTTAAGTGTTGGTTAAACACTTTATTAAAGTGTTTATTTTGTTTATTATTTTATTTATAAATAAATATTTTATTTATTAAAAAGGAACTACATTTGGAAGAATTTTCTTCAAAAGATTTTTCTTTTAGCTACTTTTTTTTTTTTTTTGAGAGAGCAGCTCATTGTGTGGCCCTGGCTGTCCAGTGCTGGTATTGAAGGCATACACCACTACCACCAGCCTAGCCAGTTTTATCTTATGTTCCTAATTGCTTCCTGAAATCTTGTATATTTTTAGACTTATGTAAATTATTATATACCATTAAATATTCTGCCCTCTTCTATATAGGCTGTGTATGTATCAGATTTCTTCAAGATCAGACATTCTTACAAAGAAAGAAAAGAGGATGACTCACATACAACTCTACATGAAACCACCGCCACCACATACTCAAGCAATCGCCATCCTTGAAGGGTGTGGGGAACTGGCCAGCTTCTAAAGGAAACCGCTGGAGGCAGAAGGCGGGAGGATACATATTACTTTCTGGTGTATAGGCCATTACAAGACTGCTGCTATATACCTCTTGGATACACCCACTTTACCTGTGTATATAGTTACATTTAACACATGATTATCTAATAATCCGATTTAAAAATATCAAGCCTTCCACTAAGAACACTGCCCCACCTGTACATTTTTTAATTGAAAGATGCTATGTACAAATGTGTATGTTACATGCCTTCTTAGAATGAGATCCAATTTAAATACAATAAAATGCTTGAACCAACTCTTGAGATGGGAGAACCACTTGAACATGTGTAAGCTTTTGTAGTCAACTGTGATCAGACAGGTGGTGATTAATGATGAATCTATAAGTAGAGGCTGGCAGCAAATACAATATCCCTCTTGATTTTGGTGATTCCTAAGGGAAAAGAAAATAATGCTGAAACTTTCAAGACCATAAAAAACTCGTGTACTTTTTACAGCTCAGTCCTAACTAAACTGGTAGGAAAACAACCTGGAATATAAAAAGCTGTTAGCTTAAGAGACTTCAGAGCCATCTGAAGAACCTCAGGGGCAGTCTTTGCCTTTTCGACTGGCAACTGCATTGAGTGTGGTGTGTGTGTGTGAGTGGCTACTTAAGATGTCCCAAGTAGATGATCACAATCAAGCAGTTATCTTTATATCAGAAGACATGGGGAACTTTTATACCAAAGCAGGACAAGTATACATATTTTTAAACTGTTTACATTGGCTGCCTCTGTCAACAGCTTAAATACTCAGTATGCAATATAAGGTGATACAATACGTAAGAAATCACTAGCATGGACTGAGTTTCTGGCCTATCTTGTCTTGGCCAACATACATAGATGTGATGATAAAGCCATTTAGAAGTAGCATGCTTCCCAACTCTCCACCCCAGTTTACAGTCTGGCCACCCTTCCTGCATGCTCTCCCCATATGCTCCTAGCTACGCTGTAGACTTGGCCATTTCATTTCCCCCATTCCTTACTTGTACTCACTCTGCTCCAAGTAGAGCCTTGTGCTGTTGCTCAAACATTTTGAGCATATATAAAAGGCCTTAAATGTCATCTCTGTGGACATCTCAAGGCTATCTTTTCTACTTTATTCTGGCAGACTTAATGTCCGTTGACTTATTTAGCTCCCTCCTATTATAAGCTCCATTAATTGCACTTTTATGTTCACTCTTACAGTTCTTAAAACAATGTTGGACACATAGTATTTAATAAATATATATAAATGGGAATCTCTGTGCATAAAAAAATTCCCAAAAGTGTCCCATATAAACCTTTCAGTTTAGATGCCCCTCCACTGACAGACAGTCCAAGATACCTCAAAATGTCCTTTAAGTTATGCCAAAGGCCTAACTTACATAAATTATAAGGCTTATAAACTAGATTCTGACCTTCAGCAAATTTGTTCTCCAGCTCCGTGTTTCCAATGGCTTTTGCTGCTTGACACATCTGTCGAAGCAGTTCTTCCAGGCGCCTCATACAACGAATTATGCTGCCTGGACAGAAAAGGAATCAGTGAGTTACTTGTGAATAAACCAGGAAGAGTAAAACACTTGTCAAGATGCAAAGCAGGAGAACATGATTTGGCTGTCAGAGAAAAGGTTTAATTAACCCTCACCTTTGATTAATGGTAGTAAAAGACATAATCTGAGGATACACTGGCAGAGGTGGGTAAACCAAATGCCCTGGCTTCAAAGAGAGAACAACTTGAGGAAGGTTGCCAGTATGACAGCTTATTGGGCTGTAAGAATCATGAAGTCTCTGTCAGGAAGCAGGTCTATGGAGACAGTGCACAAGGGCCTAACAGAGCACCACCTCCCGGACCCTGGGGGAACCCTACTTAGAATTCTGGATACCACATGCACCAGCTATGGAGAGAACAGGGTTAGCATGTTTCATCAATGTTTTCTTTACAGAAGTAGCACAGAGAAAACAAGCCCTTCCCTTTAGATTGCAAGTCCAGGACAAGTATCTATCAAAGCTGAAACTGTAGACAGTGCTACTAGTTAGACTTGTGTAGGAAGAGACCTGACCTTTCTCCAAGTGTGACCAGACATTACAGTGGGATCTGGGGACTTCACTGTAATGTCTGGACTGCATTAGGAGCATCATTTATCTTAAGTGCAAGCTGTATGAAAGGCAACCACACTGATTCCTTGTGACACTGAACAGTTCATTATTATGAAAACTGATAAAATGTTAATCACTGCTCAGTATCAAGGATCCTTCTTACTGCTCGCACCCCCCCACCTCAGGTTCCAGTATGTCCAAGCAGGACACAATCCTAAGCAGAATGAAAATGGAAGCTAGGTTGGCGGTGCACAGCTTCAGTCCCTCCAGCACTCAAGGAGCTCTATGAATTTGAGGCCAGCCTAGTCTACATAACAAAACCATGTCTCCTAACGGTACTGGAATTCAAACTCCAGGACCTTCCATGAGAGCTCTACCACTGAGCTTCATCCCTAAGTCCCAATAAATATCATCTAAAATAAAAGAAGACAAGTATAGTCTATTTCTAATATAGTTTTTGTGATGTTACTTGGCTCCTGCTGAGAAAGCTCATTCAATGAGTCAAAGGTGAAAGGTAGTTAACTCTATGGATTACTCATTGCTGTGGTAAAAGACCCAGCTAAACTAAGGGAGGAAAGATTTATTTTGGCTTATGGCTTAGCAGTCCACCATGGAGAAGTCATACTAGGTGTGATAGAGGGAGCATGTAATATGTCATGACTTTGGTCCTGGGAACATGACTACAGCACCATGGGAATGAAGAAGACAAATACTGAAGAAACAAACAAAATAGTTGGGCTTGGGGTGGGGGACGCTATGCTCTCTCTGACGGAGGGCACCACTCTGTAATCTGGAAACGCAGTGCGTTTATTATGTAGAGGCAGGCAGTCTCTAGGGGAGCAGCATCAGGTTGCAGTCATCTGGGAAGAAGCTGTGTGCTAGTTTATTTTCTCCACACACTGCCCAAGCATTTATAAAAACATGTACCTGAGCTAGAGGAAGGCCTTGCCATTCCTCTGAGCTCACCTGGGGAAGAAGACTTTGCCATTTCTGTGAGACTGAGGCACTGGGATCCTTGACATGGCTGTGCCCATGTCAACAATAAGGATTCACTCAGGGCTTCCTCCACTCCCCACAAGCATGTTCCCATCTATGTGGATCTAAGTGGCAGGAGAGAGGGCAGGGAGGAGGGCCAGAATGAATCTCAACACCCTCTGGTCCCACAGGTCCTACAATTTGACAAAAGAGAAACAGCATCTGGGGACCAAATACATAAGCCTACAGAGTATATTTACACTCAAACCATAAAAATGCCAGAATAGGCAAACTCCACAAATACAGACATTAAAAACTAGATCAAGAATGGTAACTTCAGTCACATCTTTTAATCTCAAAAGCTTCCTTACATGTTGGAGGAGTAAACCATGCTTAGAAGACAGGATAAAGTCAGATTGATATGGCTGAGGAAAGCTGGTACTGTCCAACATCTCCTGGGCACTTGACTGTGCTATGCTTTGTGACGTTTTCATTAGGGCTTTACAATTCCTCGAGGCAAGCACTATTGTTATCCCTAGTCTGCAATGAGGTAAAGGAGAAAGTTCAGAGCTACATACACAAACTGACCAAGGTCAGAGACAGAATTCACGTCAGGCCAGAGGCTTGACTCACTGGGACAACAGGACTCATGCCTGTCACCCAAGTCTGAAGACCCAGATTTTTTCCAAGGAAGCCAAAGTGGAATGAAAACATTGAATACTGAAAGTTTTCCTGACCTCTCCATGCATGCCATAGCACACAAAGTATTTTGGAGAAAAAAAGTCATACTGTCTACTCAGATTAATTCACATAAAATGATTTAGCTGGGATTTTAAACGTACATTACATTTATAGGCCCTAAATTATAACTCAGTTATACCCTTAAATTTTATAAATACTTTATTAAGTTTTTGGCTTTAAACCTTTCCTAGGACTATTCCATGCTGGTAATATAAACAAACCAACAAATCTTCATTAATGTGCTTTAAGGAGCAGTTAAAAAGTCAGATAAAGGTTCTTCATTCTGCATGCTTGGCAGTCCTTAACAACAGTAATCTCACTGAAACAGCAGCACCGGAATTCTGCGACTATGAAGGACAATGACAGAGGGAAACTATCTTCCCTAGAGATGTGACTGAGAGTAAAGAAGACAATATAAACACTAAGAAAGCATGGGACAACAGCACCATACTCGTTAAATGCTGTCTCAAAATGCTAGTCTCAAAATGAGGCTACCCAAGAAAACAGGTACAACTGACAATTTGTCCAGGATCATTAACCCAGGTAAGTAATAATAAGCTCAGAACTATGTTTTAGCCACTGTTATGTTGGTAGTAGGATACATAGGCAAAAATTACAAGCAGTAAGGCTGGGGAAATGGCTCAGCAGTCAAGAGCACTGGCTATTCTTCCAGAGGACCCAGGTTCAATCCCCAGCCCCCACATGGCAGCTATTTGGGGAGGTGCGTGTCTGATGCCCTGTTCTGGCTTGCTCAGGTACTGTACACACATGGTGCCCATACATGTAGGCAAAACAAAAAGTAGAAATTTAAGCAGGTTTATCATGCTATGACAGCAGCAGAAAGGATACGATTTAGGAAGATGACAGAATTAAAGATGACCTTGGGAGTCAGAATGAGAAGGTGAACCGAAGGCTGATGGAAAGCTGGGCTGGAGTTGAGACAGATGCACAAGGAGAGCAATGAAGGTGAGGAAACTGAGTTCAGTCATGGAAGAATCTTAGATTATAAACTGGAAGCCTTGCACAGCTTAGTACTATTGTTGCTCTCATCTTGAACTTGGATGAGGAAGGCATAAAATGAACAGATGAGAATCTGTGAGCTCGATGAAGGACAAATACTCAGGTACTGGTCTACAAGAGGAAAACTAGAGCAAGTCTCAATGGTATCTGAAGGACAGTTACCTATGGTGAGACAGGGAGGCTAAAAACGTTCCAAATGAAAAGACTACAACACACGAAGCAAGCACACATAGGAAAAGCTAACCTCCAGTTCTTCCTCAACTCCAAGTGCAAGAATTACAGTTGCGCTCCACTTGGAGAGACAACTAACACTTCCATTCTAATAATGAAAGCATTCTCAATTTTTAAAATTAGGCCATAGCTATAAAAGCTAAAAGACAAAACAATGCCTTAATTCTAACTAGGCGCTACATAAAGAGATGATCACTGGATTATGCATACAATCCAAGGAAGTTTATATCTCCACCTTTCTTCCAAATCCCCTTCACTGCCCCAGACTTGTCAGCTGTCTGGTATACCAAAGAGTCGTACCAGGCCCCAGCTGATAGGGTTATCCAAGCTGTAAATGAAATGTAAATAACAGCCCTGCACATGAGCCCACAGCACAGCAGACTCATACACACTGGCTTTCTCTCGTGTTCTCAAGGTTAGGTAGGGATGCAGGCTCCACGCCCACCTCAGAAGGAAAGGAGAAATACACTCACTCAGAAGCTTCTAGAGAAACCAAAGGTGTGGGACAGATGAGGTAACGAGCACGCAGCCATGTTATTAAATGCAAACTATTAAAAAAATTGAACAAGGCAGTGGTTTCAATGGAAATGCACAGCACTTTGGAAAGGAACAGAAGTGGTTCACAGGCAATGTAGAATTGCTCAGTCATCCACTATATATGACACCAAAAGAGAGGTACTCTCTCACACTTGTTTTAAATAATTTCCAATGTATACCAAGAAATACAATCTAATGTTCTTTTACTATTTCAACAAATACAGGCAATGAATTTTAACCAGAATCTGCCAAAGTTAGCAGGAGCATTACAAATAAATTCAGACAGCATATAAAAACTAAAGTAAGAAAACACAACCAGGTCAGGGCGCTCACACATTGTTAGTTTTGGGACACAGCTTCAGGAGAACACTGAGGGAGGAGAACAGGGCACTGGGTACAGGCTGCATATCCAATGGCTCTGGGTATTGTCTCAGAGTCCTGGCAACAGATCACCAACTGTCCACAGCTCCAGCAGCAGAAGCTGCTCCCACAGGGTGAGTGGAGACTAATGTTGAGCAGTGAATTAGCTAACACCTTTCCAACCAACTGCAGTTCTATGCAGTTCAAGACTTGCCTCCCTCCCAGCAGTCTGCCTCATTAGTTAGAACCAGCTAGGTGACAAAGCTGCAAACATGGTCCTCATTCCCACACTATCACAAGTTGGTATTAACTAGTGCTGATATCTTTTCTTCCTCCTAGAAATTCAATTTTTGGTAGTCATTGCCTTTTCTTTTCCAAATAAGTATAAATATGCTGGCATAAATCCACTACTCTTAAGTACCCTCACTTGTACGGTTTGCAAGCACTGTCTTCTCAATGCCTTGGAAGAACCTACACTAGGTGAGAACTGACGTGCTCACTTGAATACTACACAAGTCAGGGGTTTTGGTATATTAGTGGCTGTGTAACAATCACATATCTAATTCTGAACATTTTAATCAGTTCCTCAAATATCCTGTTCTTATTAAGACATCATATCCAGCTCTGACTTCACAAGCTATGGCAACCATTCATTAGCTTTCTGTCTCTACAGACTATTTCAACATTTTTCATGCATAAAATCATCTGTCTCTTCTAACACATTTAAGACTCATCCATACTGTGACATAAATTAATTAGCACTTCTTTCTATAATAAAAACTTTCAAGATATGGGTAGGCACAATTGATTTACCTCTTATGAATACATAAACTACCTGCTTTTATAGAAGAGCATTTTCATATGTACTGCCTTGCTTGGAGGAAGGAACAAAACAAAATTATTCTCTTAAGGACAGAAAGCAGTTTCCATAGAGAGTATTTCTGCCTAAACTACAGCTTTCTACATCACCCTGCCTAATTGCTGCTGTTTGGTCCCACATACATCTTGTAACTATTATGCCAACTCCCTCTTGAAGGCAGAGAGGTTGCCTGCACCGTACTTAGCATAGTACTTGATCCCTACTAGAGTCTCAGGATTATTCATTAACTAAGTATCATGCACTGATTACTAAGTGACCTATTACTAAATTTGTACCACTGTTGAAACACAAACAATGCACATAAGTAAAATATTATTCAACTATTATCAGCAAAAGTCCTTTCTAACACAGAGAGAGTAACCTGTCCTAGGAAAGGGTAGACTGCCCTACAGTCACCATCGGGAGAACACGTACTGACCATTTGCCTCAAAAATCCTACGGCAGGTAGAAGGAAGTAACTTCAACACATAATTCATAAGGATCGCCCAATGCCAAATGCTTGCAGGACAATGGGAACAGCCAGTGTTTAAGTCCTAATAGATCTACCTGGGTGGGTGCACTGAAACACTAAGCATTAGCTCATATAGCCACTCAAATTTAGTTTGATAAACATCCTACTCATTTTTCAAGGCAATGGAAGTAAATATTTTAATTTTAAAAGTTCCTCAAATTGATCTCAATGTCTTCTTGCCTAAGACATCCCATGGCTATGATCACTAAGTGTTAACTGGCCCGGTTAATGTTTGAAGAGCTCTACAGCGAATGTTCGAGTTCATATGTAAAAACCCTGGCACTTCCTGTATAAGAAGAGTGTTGAGACTCTTTTTAGGAAGAGATTCTAAGGCTTTTGTTTGTGATACTGAAGACACACTGTCTGGTGGAGCAGAGGCTGATGTCGAGTGTCTTCCTTAACTGCTCTCCACCTCATGTTCTGACGCAGGCTCTGTCACTGAGCCCGGAGCTCACCTGGGCCTCTGAGCACCAGCGGCTCTTCTCTTTCCACTCCCTAGTGCTGGACCACAGATATGTGTTGCTGTGCCTGGCTTTTACATGGTGCAAGGGATCCAAACTCAGGTCTTTGTGTTTATGCAGCAAGCACTATCACTCATAAAACTACCTTTCCAAGGCCCTGGATTTAAAACAAAACAGCTCCCCCCCCCCCCCAAAAAAAAAAAACCCAACAACAAGAACAAACACCAACAAAGCAACTCAACTATATTCTATCTTATGCTCACTCCACTCTGAAGACAGGGCTCACCTGGCTGGCCTGGAACTCACAAAGATCTGCCTGCCTCTCCTGCTGAGTGCTGGGACTACAGGCATTTGCCACCAAACCTGGCTATTGTTTGTTTCTTAACTATTACTTTAAAACAAACAAACCCATCTCTGCTATGTCACTGTGACTTCTTGGAGAAGCAGGCGTTGCACACACACGAACACTTATATTAGTAATTCTTGCTGTTATTATGTAGTCAATGAGCAGTTTGATCCTTATCTTGCAAAAGCTAGGCAACAAAGTGGTGGTACCATTATTTCATTGCTTTGGTACCTCTGAAACACAAATTCTGTTGTACACTGACCTAGATTCCTGTGTGTTAAGGAAGGCTCACAAATCTGTTATGCTTCCTTCTTTTCACAGACTCTATTACTGCTACCTATTAGGAGCTATTAAAGCCCTCATCATCTTTGAGCATGAGTTTTCTGTGGGTAGAGATGATATGGAATATAGTAGGGTTTAAGAGATGAAGTTTCAACTTGATATGCCATGTTTGGTTGATATCCATGGGAGGCCTGCCCTTTTCTGAGTAGAAACGAAGGAGGAATAGATTGGGGGGGAGGGCAGAAGGGAGAAAGACTGGGAGGAAAGGAGGGAGGCAAAAGTGCAGTCGAGATATACAAATAACACTCATAAGCATAATAACATTTAAAAAAAGACAGAGGGGCTGGAGAGATGACTCAGCAGTTAAGAGCAATGTTTGCTCTTTCAAAAGTTCGAGTTCAATTCCCAGCTCTCAACCATCTGTAATAAGATCTGGAGCCCTCTCCTGGCCTGCAGGCATATGTGCAGACAGAATAGTGTATATATAACAAATAAATCTTTTTGATAGAAAAAAAAGAAAGAGAGAGAGAGAGAGAGAGAGAGAGAGAGAGAGAGAGATAAAGTTTGAAGTCACACTGCCATCACACTTCACTGGTAACATCATACACCTCATACCTTCAAAGACATCTGTCATTTTGCAGATATGAGCAAATGTGGCTCCAGTTGCCCAGGTATACACCACATCCATCAGGTGAGGCTTGAACGAGCTTAGGTAAGTGTCTTCATCAATCTCCAGTTTTGCTTCTGCTGAAACCTTTGCGATCCTTTTAGCACATTCCTTTTAAGAATAAAGGACAGGGTTAAAATTCTTTACCGAGTATCTTTCATATCACTAACGGTTTCCGAAGCCAGGATTCTACAAAATCACTTTCCTATTTGAGGAGAGCACAGGTCAGTGTTGTCTCTGTGAGTTGAACATCCTGCTTCTAAGCAGACACAGCACACATGCTCGCAAGTGATCACACAGCCAGGCCTCCTACTGCATCAGTCAGTGCTGGGACGTGCCCAGGAGATGCATAACCTCTATGCCAGATTACATTTATTACAAATCCTACAACTCACTATATTTACCCAACAGCAGCATCTGACTAATCTCTAATTGTCTTAAGAAGGAACAAAAGGCAGTTAAGAGGGCTTGTGGCTCTTCCAGAGAATCTGAGCTGGGTTTCCAGAATCCACACCAGGTAGTTATAGTCACTTTTAACTCCACCTACAGGAAATCCAATGCCCTCTTCTCTCTTCTGCGGATATGTGAACTCACACACCACCCCTCACATAACATACAATCAAAAAAATAATAAAATCAAATATTTAAAATCATTATTGAAAAATGAAAGCTAATAAATACTAGAACTAAATGTTATTTTTTAATACTGAGGAAAATGGTGGCTGGAAAGATGACTCAGTGTTAAGAGCACTGACTGCTCTTCCAAAGGACAATTCCTAGCACAAGCATAGTTCCAGGTTCAGAAAACCCACATATGACACCCTCTTCTGGCCTGCATGGGCACTGAACACATGTGGTTTCACAGAAATGCACATAGGCAAAATACCTGCATACATAAAATAAAAATAAAGAAAATCTAAAAAAAAAAAATACCATGGGTAATACTGAGGAAGAAAAATAAGTAATAGACAGTCAGAATACCTTATTCATATTACTTAGTTTTAAATCTGCAGTTATAAAAATCAAAAAAGTTAATAAAATATAATCAAATTGCACAACTGATATCAAGTGTATTTAATCTGTGCAGTGATACAATGCCATGATTAACCTGACAATCTTTTATAATCATTAGCTTACCTGCATTTGTCGAAGTGGTCCAGCCAACTGTTCTGTTAGTTTGGGCATCTCACTTGACTGTGATAAAGAAAAACAATATGAAATATGAAAACCTGAGCAAGTACTACTTGCTTGCTGAAATGAAGCAACACTTTTTATATTCTTTTACCCCAAATTCTAAGACTTAGATTGCTATTATTTAAGTTTACTCTATCCAATCAGCTCTGGTTTTCACACATACCATCAGTACTCTCATCACCAGCAGTTACATTTCAGAGAACACTGACTGCTCACTTTGCCAACTGTGCTACCCAGGCAGTTCCTATGAATATAAACGAAACCACGGAAGAAGCGAATACTATAAATATTAGTGTAGCTATCAATAGTTTAATCATAGCTTAATTATGAAAGTTTAGCTTACAGGAAAGTTTATAGAGTGAAAATGTAGGGTGTTTAAAATACTGTGCCTAATTTTATTTTTATCCAGGTATTTCTAATTAATACTTTTTGTATTTGCTATATACCTGAGGTTGGCCTTAAACTCGAAGATCCACCTGCACTCTTTAGTGCTGGGATTAAAAGCATACGCTACCATGCCCAGCAGACTTGAATACTGCTCTTCTTGATAGTAAAATTTGTTAATTTCTAGTTTAGATAACACAAATTAATCTATCATTATAACAAGGTAAATAAAATTAGACAAGCTACTTGAATTCTTTGAGGAGATAAAAGTATGTGTCAGTATAAAGAAATATATCATACCACGGCATGTACTGGGGTGTCAAGACTTAAAGAAATGCCAAAGTGCATGTGCATGTGTGTGGTAAAAACAGGTGCAGAGGCCAGAGGCTGTCCTTCAAGTGTTGTGTAGGTTCCCGCTTTCCTGCCTTGTTAGCCAAGGTTTAGCTGTCCTGCAAGTTTCCTGAGATTTTTCTGTTTCACCTCCCATTTCCTATGAATGCTAGGAATTCAGGTACTTGCACTACGAGGCCTGGCTAATAGGTTAACATTTTAAAGGGCAACTATAGAGCAGTTGCAATATCATCTGCATAATATACAGGACTTAGTTTTGATTGATGTATGTTTGTAAACACATTTCATAAGAAATCATGAACCATGTTTTATATTACTGCTGTAAAAACAAAAGCTTATCAACATGACTGGTAAACAGGGAAAACGACATAGGATGACAGGGAAGGAATGCAAACATGCTAACTGCCATGGACAGAGCATCCATTCATGACCAGTTAGTTCATCTACTCTGGTCACCACAGGTGGAAGACACTGGTCCTGATCTGACCAGGGTTAATGGTGCTCTCTGAATGTACAAATTTGTTCCTTCACTTTCACTTAGGTATCAATTCAAATTTCATACTGGGGAGGGCTTTTCTATTCTGACACATTAAAACAAGAACCTGAAGCATCAGGTATTCTCCCCCAGCTCTTCTACTTCTTCATTTACTCACACATAAGCCACTAAAGCAAAAGGCATCTCCAGTGTCCAGATCTATGCACTGTAAACACTGGGTGTTTAATCAATTTTTGTGGAGGGCTGGAGAGATGGCTCAGAGGTCCTGAGTTCAATTCCCAGCAACTACATGGTGATTCACAACCATCTGTAATGAGATCTGGTGCCCTCTTCTGGTATACATAATAAATAAATCCTTAAAAAAAATTTTTGTAGATATTCATCTTCATATTTGAAAGATTTATGTACAATTATTACAGAAAAATAAGAGCAATTTTAGAAACATTTAAAAATAGAAGTATGCTAAGTACATTTCATCTAATATATCAAAGTATTTATTATAACTATTCTTTTTGGCATGACATCATATGACATATAAACATGAATTGAGTCTTATTATTAATGAATATCCATTATACTATTTATTCAAACCATATGGTGTGTGAATAAACAAAGCATACTATATATATAAACTCACATTCTCTTGAAACACAAAACAGCTCAATAGTGCAGTTGCCTGTTCTGCAGAAAGGTCATTGAAAAGCCCATTAAACATCATCTCTGTTAGAAGGAGTTCATCAGCACTAAAGAGAGAATAAATTTCACAAGTCAGAAGATACAGACATATCTTTAACAGGTAGTCATTAATTAAAATATGTAATTTAATCATGAGGAAAAATCAAGGGGTATAAATGTATAAAGGAAATGGTAAACCTTTCTATTTGTCAACATATAAACAGTACAAGACACACTGTCAAGAAAAATAATACTGCTTATGACTTTCAAATGGGGGCAGTCAGGCTAAGGATTCTAAGCTATTTATAACTTCTAAGGCAGAAACTGGTCATGATGGATTTTAAAGATGGACTGAAAACTTATTTTCTGAAGTGGGTTTCAACAGCATCTCCTGTTCTACATCATCTTCTACAACTGCACTGTCCATACAGGCTGCCCCCTGTGTAAGTGACAACTTCAACTTAATGTACCAAACTGTGTAGACTCCCCATGGGAGCCCTTACCTGTTGAGAGGACTAGATGGGGGTGGGAGGAGTAGGAGGGAGAACTTTGGTTGGAATGTAAAATGAAATTAAAAAACTAAATTATTAATTAAAAAATACATACTTTAAAATTCAGAGATGTTGAGTCACCATTTTAAGCGCTAAATCCTCACACATGGCTAAATGAACACCTTACAGAACAGTGAAGGTACAGAACATTTCAAGCATAGAAAAGAATTCTATAGGATAGCTGCTACTTTCCTATCAAGAGATGGAACTAATTGTTTTCTATTTGAATCTAGGAGCATTTGTGACTCAAATGTAATCAAAAGACTGTGACAGATGTACTGCTAAAGAACTGCTAGGCTGGGTTACAAAACACCATCAGAAAACATGACACCTCACGCTGGCGTCCTAAGCCTCCACAGACTCCACGTGATTAGGGCCACCATTCTGAGTCGCTCATGCTGTGAAGACACCCAAACTGGCCCATGTGGAAAGGAAGAAAGAGGGAATGGAAGGAAGGTGGGAGGAAGTTATTCCAATACTACTCACTTCTTCGAGCCTCCTAGTAAGTTACTTAATTACCCTCTTATTGCTATGGGGAGGGGGGGATGGTATCCTGAACTAGAGCCATGTGACCAAACCATTCCTGATTTGCTAACTCAGAACTGACAGTAAAATAACTACTGTTTGGAATTATAACAATATGGTGAACGATTACAAGCTAAGAACAACACAGCTGTCCTAGGATTACCCCATGTCCCCTCCCCCAGCCCAAGGCTGCCAGCACCTGAGAATGTTCAAGAGCCTTATCACCTGTCAGTCTTCACACACACTTTAAAGTCATCTCTCTTACTTACAGCACCTAAGACAACGTAATGTCATGTGAACAGTTGTACTATACTGGCAGGGGACAGGGACTAGGTAAAAGGACAACACATATACATTTACTTTTTTTCCAACACATGTTCTATCTACAAGTGAGCTCAATCTGTGGATACAAAATAGAGCTGGCACTGCATTTCCAAATTTAAGTTCCAGCCTAAAATAAGTCAATGTGGTAACTTACTCTTACCCCCAATCTTGAGTAAAACCTGCTCACTGTGCTCCCTCTATATATATGAATGAACTGGAGTTAAACGTCAAGGTGAAAATTTTTTAGAAAACAGCATACAAGCTGATATATAAACTAAGGTATGATTTGTAAAGTTATAAACAAATTATATAGAAAGAATCTCAACATACACAAAAAAAAAGTGTTTCACAGAAAACATAACAAAAGGCTAACTAGAATTAATTACTGAGATTCATGAGTTCTGATTTCTCAACCTCTTGGTCCAAACTGTATATAAAATGGAAAAGCACAATAACACCGTCCTATTTAATTAAGACAGCTGTTTCCTGACGAGTGTGGTCCATGTGAGACAAAATAACATTTAGCAGTCCATGCAGAACATTTTACCTGCTTATTTCACAAGCCACACGTCCTTTCATCTCTATTACGTCAGAAGACGTAGCAAAGCCCAACCTCCTTAAAACACGTTTGCGACATTTGAGTTCATCCATTTGCAGGACAGTTCTTGCTTTCTTCAATTCTCGCTTTGCAGATTTAATATCTATTGCAATCTAGGGCATACAAAAGCAAAGGCAATTTAATAATAAACTGAGTAATATAACATGGAAAAAAAACAAAACACCAAAAAAGTAGTTTATAAGGCCACCTGATTGAGAGTGTGTGCTGTAGGGGTTTAGATGCAATACCAGGAGAGGAAGAGTGTACTTGAAAAGTTCTTCAACACTAGCTAAAATGTTAAACATGTGGAAAACACAAAATGCCCACATTAAAAAATTAGTTATTTAATATACAGAAACGAAAACCAAAAATAAAATGTGCCTTTAGTTTTAAATGAATTTTAAAATAAGAAAATCAGTAAATATTACATATTTTTTTGTGGCAAGAAAATGGCTCCACAAAAATAAGAAAACTATATTTTGAAAAGGAGGATTTAAATGCAGAAAAGAAAACCCAAAGAACATTTAGGGATTAAAAAGATGGAATTTGAACCTCTAAAGCTCTATACTGTTAAATCTTAAGGTTCAGTGAAGGAGAAATGATAAGGGATGAGCAGTCCTGCTTACTCAGGCTACCTTGAGTCTTGTCACTCCTGTGCTCTTCAGTGGAGCTCAGGAGCAGAGCACCCGCTTAGTGTGCGTAAGCAAGGTCTGGAGTTCACGCCCCAGAATAAGATAGTAACCTAATAACTGAAATTTTAAAGCAATCCCAAAGGTAACAATATCATATCTGTATTTTACTGACAAGGCTGAGACATTACTCCATAAAGAGGTTAGGGTCTTTAACAGAGCTCCTAAGTAATCCTGATTTAATTCAGCAACTGATAAGAGTCTAGGCTAGAACTGATGAAGTGTCATAATGTTGTACTGTAGGAAGTAGTGATTTCTCTGCTAGATCACTGCATGTAAACTAACATAACTATCAAACATCTCAGAAAAAAAGAAATATTCTAGGATTTCTTTGACTGAGATGCCTATATGAGCAGAGGCAAACACTATGGTAAAAACTACAAGAGTCATAAAACTTAAGTTAGAAAAAGAGCCCAGCTGAGAGGTGGTAGTGTACACCTTTAAAGGAGGCAGAGGCAGAGAGATCTGTGAATTCGAGGCCAGCCTGGTCTACACAGTAAGTTCCAAAGCTACAGAGAAACCCTATCTTGAAACACCCCCACCAAAAGAAAGAAGAGAAAGAAAAAAGAGAAAAGAACCCAGCATACAAGACTATTTTGTAGTAAGACCATTTATATCTTGAGCATAATGTTGAAATGACACTGACACTGTAGGCACACTGAGTGGAATAAATTATTCATTCCATTGTTTTCCTTCAGGTGGCCACTAACAGTATTTACTATTATCAGTGAGCTATCCTGAATCTCTACTGTAGTCTGCTGCCCTAGGTCTCTGTGAGAATCCTAACTTGCTGGCAATGGATGAAAGGCTCCAGCACTTGTAGTTTATCTAAAAGACAGACAGACATTCCCATTCCAGACGATAAAAAGAGGACAAGAAAATAACGTATTTAATGAAATACATAAAATTATTTCTGGGAGCTAGAGAAGTTGGCTTGGTGATAAGGACTTGCTCTTGCAGAAGACCTAAGTTTGGTTCCTCACAGCCACATGGCAGCTCACAACTAACCATGACTGACTCCAATTCCAGGGGACCCAACATCCTCTTCTGGCCTGCTCCAGCACCAGGCATGCATATGGTACATACACATACAGACAAAACTTATACACATAAAAATCAATCTTAAAAAAATTATTTCTGCCATACCTGTGCTTTTTTCTCACAAAGTGTATACACGGTTTCCAAATTTGGATCATTGTGAAGTGGATGAGAATACATTCGATGCTCAAAAGCCTCTACTTTCTGAATGACTTTTTTTAGTCCTTGATCCTGAATGCCCATATCATCAATAGGATCTAACAAAGGAACACCATCGGGAAAACGCTTCTGAACTTCCTGAAATAAAAATGTAAACCCCATTAACAAGATGAGACTAAACCACTATTTCCATTTTTTGTCTCTTCTATGTCTATGGCCATAAAAAGGACTCAACATATATTTTCTCCACTTAAACCAGAGAGCAGTTTACCACAGCATTTGTTTTTGAAAACCTTCATTTTGGGGGAGGTGGGGGGCAGGATAAAACAGGGTCTTACTTTGCTGCACAGGTTAGGTTCAAACTCGTAATCCTCCTGTTCGGCCCTCTGATTCTGAATTACAGATATATTCTACCACAGTCCGAAAATTCCTTTTCATTTGCTACGCTAAAACTAACTGCTAACAGAATATATTATAATCCACTAATATAAATAGCATTGTAGTGTAATCCATTAGTTCTGGGCAAGGCATGGCTTTACTGGTAAAACCACTTCTGTATATTTATGTCACTGTAACATCTTGACATAGTTAATATGTAACTATATTTCCTATCATTTATGTGGGAAATTCAATTTTTACATTATTTGGAGGCATGGTTTTTTTTTTCCAAAGACAGATGCTGGAACTTTAGCAGGTAAGCCACAGCCATGTGGCAATACACAAATTAATAGAAATGGGTTAAACTGATATGTAAGAGTTAGCCAATAAGAAGCTAGAGCTAATGGGCCAAGCAGTGATTTAATTAACACAGTTTCTGTGTGACTATTTCAGGGCTAAGCAGCCAGGAACTAACTAACAGCCTATTACAACAGATCATGAGTTCAGAGAATGGATAGCTCACTGGCTGGTTATTCCACCCACTAGAATTAAGTGTTGGTGACTTTGAAGGACAGATAAAATCAGAATAGTCAGGAACTATCCCACGTGCACTGGGCCCTGGGTTCCATCCTAAGTATGGTAAACACAGAGTAGTGCAGACTACCTTAGTGGTGGTGTGCACTTGTAGTCCTAGCTACTTGGGATGCTTAAGCATAGTGCTTACTTGAACTGTGAAGTCTGAGACCAACCTAATTAACTCTCCTTATCTCAGAAAAGGAAGCACAGAAAGAGTAAAACTGGCTTTCTCTGCTCCATCTTCTGCAATGCTAGCCTTGTCCCTGAGACTCAATGGTGATGGTAGGAATGAATGGATTTGCCATACCGAGTGCCTGGTCATGGGGGCTGCCTTCAACTCTGGCAAAGACACTGTTGCTATCAATGACTCATCTCGGGCCCCAAGTCTGTGATGGGTACAAACAACCACAAATATGACAACTCACTCAAGACTTGTCAGCAGTGCCTCCTGCACCATCAACTGCTTAGATCCCCTGACAAGGGTCATCATGACACAACCTTTGGCACGACTTATGACCATGATCTATGCCATCGTTGCCACTTAGAAGACTGTGCATGGCCCCTCAGGGAAGCTGTGGTGCGGCCCAAAACATCATCCCTGCACCCACTGGTATTGCCAAGGTTGTGGGCAAGCTCATCCCAGAGCTGAGTGGGAAGCTCACTGGCATGGTTTTCTGTGTTCCTACCAGAAATATATACACTGTGGCTGACAACTGCCTGGAAAAAGCCGCCAAGTATGATGCCATCCTGAAGATGATGAAGAAGGCACTGAAGGGCTCATTAAAGAGCATCCTGGGCACCGGGCAGTGGTGGCACACGCTTTTAATCCCAGCACTCGGGAGGCAGAGGCAGGCGGATCTCTGTTAGAGGCCAGCCTGGTCTACAAGAACTAGTTCCAGGACAGGCTCCAAAGCTACAGAGAAACCCTGTCTCAAAAAACCAAAAGAGACAGAGAAAAAAAAGGCATCCTGGGCTATGATGAAGACCAGGTTGTCTCCTGAAATTTTAATAGTGAGAGATGCCTACTCTTCCACCACTGGTGCTGGGGCTGGCACTGCTCTCTATTAGAATTCTGTAAAACTCATCTCCTTAAATGACAACAAATGTGCTACAGAAACGGTGGTGGCTTCGAGGCCCATATGTGCTCCAAGGAATAAGAAACCTTGGACCACCCATTCCAGCAAGAACAGAGAGGAGCAGAGGCCCTTGGTTTCTGAGGAGTCCCTGCTACTATTCAGCCCCCAACTGAGCATCTCCCTGCAGTTTCTACTCCAGACCCTGAGAACAAGGGGAGGGGCATAGAGAGCCTTACTCTCTTGAATATCATCAACAAAGTTCACTATACCCCTCCCACAACACACACACAAAGAATAAAAACGAAAAATGCAAAGGGTTCAGAAACGTGAATACTGCGATCAGAAATAAGCTAATAATGCAAGTTGTTTCAAGAAACTGCTTGCTTTGTGCATACAGCAATTACCAGACAGGTTTGTTCAAAAGGAGGATATGTCATTACTAAGTCATATAATCTTATTCATGAACTTGAATATTAAGAAACTGAGTTATAGGCTGAAGTATAAAGACAGAGCAATACTAATCTTTTGTTTTATTTTTGTTTTTCAAGACAGGGCTGCTCTGTAGACCAGGCTGGCCTCTCTCTCCCAAGTGCTGGGATTAAAGGCATGTACAAAGAGGCAAAGAGGACTCTCTAGTCTTCACGTGAAGGAGTTCTTCTGGCACACGCATCTGCAGCTCTTCCTGCCTTGTGAACAGGGACTGAGAAAACCAAGAGAACCAGCCTATCTCGTGTGGACAGGAAACATGAGATCTGTTTCTATGGAAGCTAAGGTCAAAGCAGAGCACGGCCGATACCAGGGTGTTTCAGCAAGTAAGACAAGCCTGGGAGCTGGTAATTGATCTCAATTTCTAAAGAACAAGGTAATCCTTTTTCCCCAGACAACAGCAATATTTATGCTAACTAAAAAATCAAGTGTTTTTCTATTCAGTTATGGTATTATTATGAGTTATTAGAAAACAATTCATTGAAATGCTATATTTCATTTTACTTCCAAGACCTATTTATTTACTAACAAACTGGTTCACTACAGTTCTTTTTCTTTAAGAATATTTTCTTGTTGGGCAGTGGGGCGCATACCTTTAATCCCATCACTTGAGAGGCAGAGGCAGTCAAATCTCTGTGAGTTCAAGGCCAGCCTAGTCTACAAGTTTGAGTTTCAGGACAGGCTTCAAAGCTACAGATATTCCAAAGAATATTTTCTTAGAATAATACATCTCCATGCTTATTTATTTATTTATTTATTTAAATTTTCAAGAAAAGCATACATTTTAGAAGCCTATGGATCACAACTTAAAAGTTTGTACTCTAAGGGCTGGAGAGATGGTTCAGCAATGAAGCATTTGTTGCTGAGTACCCAGGTTCAATTCTTAGTAGCCACATGGTGATTCACAACCATCCATTCTTCCAGATCCAAGGGACCCAACCTCCTCCTCTGACCTTCACAGGCATGTTTACATACATTCATGCAAAATACTCAAACATTAATAAAAAAAAAAAATCTTTAATAAGACTCCTACTCTAAAATGAAAGCAATGTATTTACCATTGTTTTCTCAAATTCTAGAGAGCCTCTCTGTATAGTAAGGTATAGTAATTGCTATTCAACTGTTTTTAACCAATTTTTTCATTTATTTCTGACAGAAAATAAAAATTTTGAAAGTTGTATATTTCCTACTGAAAATAAAGCATTTATTTTAATTAATTAATTAATTTTGACTTTTTTGAGATAGAGTTTCTCTGTGTAACTGCCCTGGCTGTCCTGAAACTTGCTCTGTAGACCAGGCTGCCCTCAAATTCACAGAGATCAGACTGCCTCTGCCTCCACGTGCAAGGATTACAGGTGTACACCACCACCACCACCCATTCAAAAATAAAGCATTGTAATGAATAAAAAATTTTATTTCTTATAGGACAGTGAAGATGAATAGTGCAGTTTATGAGTCTTCCTTTGTTATATACATTGACGCTGTGCTCAGAACAGATCTGCAATGACTCGTTTTATGAAGCAAACTCATTATGTGTTCATAGTTTGTCTGAAATATATTTAAAATCCTCTCAGTCATTTTTAGGTAAATCCTATTTATGTAAGATTTATATTTAAGTTCTAAACTAACATACATACCTGTATGGACTTTAAAACACTCTGTCTGTTGTCCACAGGCCGAAGGTCCTTCGGGATGTAAAGCCTAACAGTGCTGATGGCAGACAAGAGATGCACCAAAACTGGGACAACCTACAAAATGTTATGAGACTACAGATGAATTCCACATTTCCAGTTATGTCCTACATATGCCCAAAGGAAGTAGCATTTATAGTATGTCTCAGATGAACTGCTTACCATGAAAGCCTAAACCCTAGTATGTGAAAACTACTGCAAATCTTAATAGTCACACAAATGTTACATTAAAAAGACCCTCTCTTCAGAGTCTAACTTATTCATGTTTGTATTCTCACTACTTGGCACTTTTAGAAACATCAGCACTACAGATGAATGCCCCTGTGTAAGAGGGTTAGAGAGCCCAGGAAAGAACATAAGGTTCCAGATGCTGTGAGATGGGGGAAAGAAGAAAGGGCTCTTTAAAGAGGAGGAAATGCATCCCCTTACACATCGTCTTCCAGAATACACATCTGAAAACTTTTCCTCATGCTTTCTCCAGTTAAGTATGCCTCCCCTCACCAACAAATACATTTTGCTTCTTTGACTGCTATAATCTGGAGCCTAAACCCACGAGCATCAAGGCAACCATTTCCTAGGCTCACACCTGTCAGTACTTAGTCTTCCGCAGCCATACTATATTTATACTTATGGTCCCCAAAAGACTTGCTGCCTTACTGACAACACAGACCTGCACAGGCAAGAAGATGTGAGTAAAGCATTGGCATTCTTGAGTGGAAGTAGTATGATGGTTTACACATTCTATACTTAAGATCACCGGTGTTTGAAGTCAACCTTCAGGTAGCTCCAGCACCCTGGACAAACTACCTAACTTTTTCTATGTTTCAATATCTTCATCATAACATGTGTTAAATTATTATGCATAAAATAGTTCAGTATGTATCCTTAAGTTTAGGAAAAGGAACGCCTTAAGAGTTCCCTAATTAGAAATATGAAGTTTTGAGGCCAGAGAAATGGTCTGTGTAAATGGTTCAGTATGGACTGCTTCTGCACAAGCTTTTGTAACGCTAGCTCCAGGAGATTTAACACCCTTTTCCATCCTTCACAGGCAACTGCACTGGTACACACACTCATGTGTTCAGTGTACACAAAACTAAAACATAAATCTTAAAAAATAAAACCCAGGAAGATTTCTAGTTAGGGGTCAGAGGCTTCAAAATGAAATAAATAGGTTTCAGGTGTGCAAGCATAACCCTGAGTTTTGTTTCCAGCACCCATGTAAAAGCTGGCACAGAGCCAGGTGCTTGTAACATCAGAGCTGAAGAGGCAGAGGCAGGAGGATCCATGGCATTTCTGGATCAGTGAACCTTATGTTCAGTTGAGAGGCTGTCTTAAAAAATATGGTAGAGTAAGCTAGGCAGCGGTGGCGCATGCCTTTAATCCCAGCACTGGCAGGTGGATCTCTGTGAGTTCGAGGCCAGCCTGGTCTACAAGAGCTAGTTCCAGAACAGGCTCCAAAGCTACAGAGAAACCCTGTCTCGAAAAACAAACAAACAAACAAAAAAGGAGGTGTCTATCCTATACTCACCTCTATTCACATACAAACATATGAACATATGTAACACACACACACTAAACTGCCCGTTTTCAGTAACTGGGGAACAGACTGTTAGACAGTAAGCAACCTAGAATTATAGAGGCCAATGTTTGAGTATCTAATTTATGTTGGATGGATTCTATGACAAACAGCACCATATATTTGTCATCGTGGGAAGCCTTTCTTCTAGGGAACGTGACTACATATAGTTTTCTAAGTGTTGACAAGATTGTCTGCACCCTGACTCTACATTCCCATTCACTTTAGCTTCCTTCCATGCCAGGACTGTATAAACTGAAATAAATAGAATTTTAAAGCATCATTAGAAGCAGAGGAAAGAGCCTGAGTTTGTACAAGGTTTACTGAAGACTTCTCTGAAGAGGCTTTTTACTGAATTAAACCTAAGGTCAACAGGACTTCTGGTACCAAGTAAAAAAGGTGGGCTTTATAAAACTGGGGCCTATAAACAATGGAAGACAGCAACTAGGCTTCAGCTAAAATGCTAGTACAAATAAACAATGAGGAAGTCCACTTTTATAGTAATAAATATAGCCGTGATTTACTACCAACATCCTCTTGAGAACAGAGACCCATGAGATGAGTGCCACACATCTGCTCTGTCCAGTTACAGTAGCTTCTAAGGTCCTTCAGGTACAGAATATGCACCAAAGGAGGAGTTCTAGCCTCTTTTACAGTTAGGTAGTCAGTAGGTGCAGTAAGTGCTAGGAAACTAATAAAAATGTTTTTTTTTATGGTAGAATTTTAGAGAACAAACTAGAACACTGAAGAATAGATATCAAAAGGTAGGCAGTATCAGAACTACAGACTTCTAACTCATTTAAAAACATTCAATATTAAATTGTCTTTAAACATTGCCAATTCCACATCCTATAATGATTTATTGGTCCAAATAAACAGTGGCAGATTTTATTTCCTAGAAACCAAGTTTACTATAACACATTTCCTAAAAACACCTAGTCAATATACCATGTTATTTACAAACAAAACTCTAGCATTATGTTAAGCTTCAGACTGTTAGAATCTCTGTAATAAGATTTTACTAATAATTATCTTACTTATACCAATATAAAAATAGAAGGTATATAGCTCAATGGTGAACACTTGCTTAGCATGCATCATGCACAGGACCTTGAGAGCAAGCCCTGCTAACTGGGATAAAAACACCCACAGCAGACAAGTGAGCACTTCATATGGTAAGACAAGTGTTCTTTTTATGTATGTATGTATGTATGTATGTATGTATACAATATTCTGTCTGTGTGAATGTCTGCAAGCCAGAAGAGGGCATCAGACGTCATTACAGATGGTTGTGAGCCACCATGTGGTTGCCGGGAATTGAACTCAGGACCTTTGGAAGAGCAGGCAATGCTCTTAACCTCTGAGCCATCTCTCCAGCCCCCAAGTGTTCTTGAAATTAATTTTTCTTTTGTCTCGTCTTTTTCAAATGTGTTACTTTTAATTTAAAGTTTACCTAAATTAAATAACTTTAAGAAAGCTTATATAATAAATCTGAAGATGAAAAACTCACAGACCTGCATCTCTCCTTTCTCGTCAGGTTTTGCTGGCTTTGCTGCCTCGGTTGCAGAATTTTTCAGGCTCTCTTTGCTGCAGCGCAGCAGCACTTCTACCACATACAAAGGGTCCAGTTCTCCAGAGTTAGGCTAGGAAAGCAAAAGAGTAACTTAGATGCTTATTAATTCTAACTTAATATTATCATCATGACTGCTTGCAACATTAAATATCACTTGCAAATTTCCAATTAGTGTGCAAAAATTAGAAAAGCAACAAAATCAGTAAGGCATCAAATCTAGCTCTATGGAATATGATCTTGTTAATTTGTTAAAAGAGTAACTACTCTTGAAATTAAGTCTATTATTATTATTATTTAGCTGTAATAGGTAACAATCTGATGGATTCAAAAAGGAGAAATGTGAACTCATGAAATTAGGAACCCCCCATAACTCTTCAAGGGCAAAGTTTACCTTAACATTTGACTTTTTTGAGAAATTCACTACTACACCCCAGCCAAAATCATCTCCTTCATTTTTCACCTGAAAACAAAACAAGGAAGCAAATAAAAAGGTTTTATATTGAATATACAATTGTAGCCTTCTATATCTACTTACATTATAGACTAATAAGATTTTTGAACTGTCTTAATGCTTTTAAAATATCTCAAGGTATCAATTCTATATTAAAACAAAACAAAAACACACAACACTAGATTCACCAGCTCTCAGAACTGCCACAAGAGGAACCTCTCAACTGGAAAACAAATGCGAAAACACAACACTGTTCCCAGAATATTAAGTATTTTATATCTAATGATTTGAGGCTTAAAACTGGCTCATTTTAGATAGCATTCCATAATTAGAAAACTGAAGTGTTGCTAGAAGCCTTCATGCAAACACCTAAATTGGGACAATGTCAAACAGGTGAAATGATGAATCCTAATCACATCCTATAGCAGGAACATTTTGCCAATATAAATAACAATCTTTAATCAAAACATTTTAAGATATTATAATATATACATAATTTATTCAGAAATCATGGCATACCTTTACCAAGCGACCTGGCTGTAGAAATGGTAAGCAGTATTTTGGCTTATGAATATATTCTTCAATCTCTTTTCCCAGTTTGGCAAGTTGTTGTCTAATCTTATAATAGATAACCACATTTTCTTCATTGGGGATCACTATTTTATTATACTGCTCTTCTGAGTTCTTGACCTCTGTAAATAAAGCACAGACGAAGCTATAAAAAATACTGCATAGTTCACATACATTACACCTAAGACTACTTTTCTACTATGATTCTACAGATCAAAGCCAGTCACCAAGATTCTATGAGTAGGAATTGTCTCGTCTACCTTGTCTCTCTTAAAGAGTCACTTCAATGTCCTTCTGTAGCCATTATCCTCTGTGCTAACCCAGTGTGTATGATTCTACTCCCTACTCTGCCCTTCTAGCATTAAGCTCCTTTCCAAAAGCACTCCATTATGCCTCCAATCCAGTGTTAAAACATACTCACTTAACTATTACAGCTGGTGGATGTGTGCCCGACATTTACTCTTCAGCTACTGTCCAAGGTGCTATAATAAATATTCATGAGAGTCTTTGTTTGAAAATATTTTCAACTCAACCATGAGTCTCGAGTTGCTGGGTCATGTGGTAATTCTCCATTAAACCAAAGGAACTTTTTAACAGTTTTCTACAGTAACATACCATTTTGTTGCAGTATTATCTTTTTAAAAAGTACTGATCCCAGTTAGTGTGTGAAGTGGTTTTGAACTGTATTTCTCAGCAATGATGCTCAGCTTCCAACTATGTACTTTTTACCATTTCTTTATGGTTTATTGTTAGTTTATTAAACCCAGGGTCATGCACATGCTGGAAAAGAATATAACCATTAAGCCACACCCCTAGTCCGTTTGTTCATTTTAAACTGAACTGTCTTTTGTTGAGTCCTAAGAGTTTACTGTACATTCTATCTATGCTGTTTGAGTTTTCTAGTTTCAGCTCATAACTTTTGAATTCATTTTTATTCATAATGTAAGGTCTCAACTTCATTCTATAGTTATTCTGTGCAAAACCCATGCACAATAGCTGTATGAATTTATAGTGGACTATATTCTTTCCTTTGGATTTATATCGAACTTTTCTTTAACCTGTATGCTTCAAATTTTTAACTGAAGAAAAGAGAGGGTAACTCACAAATCTTTCCTAGAGATTAATCGAAACAATATATAGAATATTCCTAGCTGACAGTTTAACACAGTAACCAGGAAGGGTGCTGCAACTGTATTATTAGTCATTTAATTATCTTCAAACTTTGCAGAATGCTCCCTAAGACAGATGGTCTTTTGTGCTCCTGGTTACTTTTATATGTACAGAAACTGAATTTAATTCACTAAAAACTAGAATAACAGCACACATGATAGAAGGAAATTGCTGGGGGGAGGACCTAATAGTTTATAGAAGGGGATGACAAGATGGCTCAGTGGCTGAGTACTTGCTGTGCAAGCATGAGGACCTTGCTTAAGTCCCTGGAACCCATGTGTTTCAAAGCCAGAGTTGATATTCCTTCCTCTCTTTAGTTTTTAAGACATGGATTCATAATGAATGGAGTTCATTATGAACTAGCTAGCTAAAGTGGCCAGTCAGTGAACATTAGGGAATCCACCTCCCTCCTAGTGAATAAAACAAACCATGGATGCCAGGATCCCAATTCAAGTCCTTGTGTGTATACAGTAGATGCTCTACTAACTGAGCCATCTCACCAGCCTGTTACAGCATCTTCTTGTGAGATGTCAAAAATAATAGATTAATCTTATACATCAAATTTTATATTGAGCTTTTTGTTATATGATTATTCAAGGACATGGAATTTTGGATAAAATATATATTAAAATCACAAATTACACTGTGGTTAATCCAACTAGAAAAAAGTATCTTGTCAGAATTGTCTACATTTATTTTGAATGTTCTAGTCTATAAAGGCAGAATACATTTCCACATTTTTTATCTTAATGGTCATGATTTGCTTTACTAGGGAAAAAAAAAAGGATCAAAACAACGAGTAAGGCAGTCACATCCAGTTAAACAAATGAAATTTTACACTTACTCTCTACTACTCCTGGGATTGCTCTATAATGCTGGAACTGATAGAAAGATTTTTCCAGCATGTACTCAGGATTAATTTCTTCTACTCGTAATAAGTTCAAGACCATGTTATAGGTCAGATGGAAAGCACTATTCAGAGGATCAGCTGAGCCCTTAAAGAAAAAGCATGACAATTTTATACATTTCTGAAAGAAATTTACACAAGATTTTAACATACTTAATAATTTATCCTAAACTAACAAATACAGGAATATGCAAGCTCTATTTTGGGGGTTGGGGTGGGAATGAGCCAAAGCAAAGTGATAAAATGGTTTAAAGTAAAGGGTGAATGAAATCAGTAGGAATAAAATCAGTAGGCTGTATGCAAAATATACTAAGCTCTCTCTCCTTCCAAGCACAAAGTAGGATTGCCTTTCTGGTCTCCCAGTGGACAGGATCAATAAATGTGGCAGAAAATGACATGTCACTTTCTGACCATGTGTTTAACTGCTGGTAGGAAAAGCTATATTCTCCTTCCTGGCGAGGCTGACACTCCATCCGGCTGGCTCTTTAAGGATGCTAAGCAGAATCTGTTCTAATAACCTGTGAAGAGCATGAAGCAGGTCAGAGACATAAATAAACCTTAAGCTACTAAGGTTGAGGATAGTGAATACAGCACAACCTATTAATATACTAATATTTATGAGTGGTATCTGGATAAAAACAGTGCACTGGGACATAAAGATGCTAATATACTTCCCACATTATAAATCTTTCTCTGTACTTTGGTAAATCCTTTTCACCTCCATAATGTATTTTACCAAAGAAGAGACAGACACTATTTTGCTGTAGATTTTTTACTGTAGAAAACTGTTAACTTGCACCAAAATTTTTATTCAAAATCTGCCTCAATTTCTAAGCTCACACTGTGTAGCAGCAGCTCTTGAGAAGCAATTTTTTCTTTATAAAATACTTTGCAAATGTGAAAGCAATTGTATATCCATACAGAAGAATCATTAAATTATTTTGGATTCTTTTCTCAGTTCATTAACCCACTTCCATTCTTGGGAATGCTTTTTCCTCTCTTAAGTGGTATCTATTTCTCTTCCATGCCTAACTTTTTCCCATCTCTCCTCAATGTGGCTGCCAGGATTTTCACACAACATAAAGAATGAGCATTTTTCTCTTAAACACCCATAAACTAGTTGCAAGTGTTTGAAAAGACGAAATCCTTAGAAGATGCACCCTGAAACACAACTGTTACTATTTATGCCACACAGCACTTACTGGTGTATAAATAAATTGAACAAATGCTGTTAAGAGTATTTATTGGCCAACTACTGGAACTTCAGAATTTTAAATGTATAGAGAGAATTTTTTGAAGGATAGTACATACTTTTACTCAAGTTTTGGATGAAGTATTCCTAAATAAATAAATAAAAGGCAAGAGCTGCCTGCACTAGGGTACCAGCTACGATGTTTCTAAAACTCTGACTTTCTCTACTTTAAAAAGAAGGCCCTAAACAGGCAATGTTAACAGGAAACCTATATTCATGGAAAAGAAATGCAGCTTAAAACAGCTTCAGTTTGAAACTCTACAAATTAGATCTTGCCTTCAATTTTCTGGCTTTTTTCCCTCTTATTACTTAAATAAACAGCAAATACTTATTCCAGCTCATCTGAGTGCTCAGTGCCTTGACCCCTAAAATGGTATTCCACATCCATATGAACCCAAGGCCCTTATTAACCACTTCTTTTCTAATTTAAATGATAAGAAATATGGTGATACCATTTACTTGCCAGATCACATAGAAAGGACAGCAACTTAAATTCCAATTTATAAGTTAGTTCTTCTGCTTTATTCCTTCTTTTAAGTCAACTACTGTAGATGTTTTCTCCGGTGTACTTTAGACTAATATTTAGCTCATCCTTCTTATTAAACGGCTCATGTTTGGGTTCAGTAGTTACCATCCTAAACACCCTGGGCTCAATTTCTTTTATGATGCTGCCAACTAAATAAATATTCCTAAATATAATTCCATTATGATTCATGATTTTGTTCAGCCGTAAAATATGACAAGTACATGTCCTACATTCAGATACTGAAATCAATCACACACTTTATACCAAACTTTGGATTTTCTGTTCATAAAACAGATGAAAAATGAAAGAGAAACATACTATTTTAAAAAGCTAGTAACTTTTCACTTATCAATAAATTTATTTGTCTGGTAGAGTTGAAGACTGAGTCTTGCATAATTTTCATGAAGAACTAAAGTTATGTGGCTCTTTATGAACAGGCTTTCAGGGTTAGAGAGATGGCTCAGAGGTGAAGACCATTTGCTGTTCTTCCAGAAACTGGAGTTCAGTTCCCAGCAACCACACTGGATAGCTCTTACCCACCGGTGACTCCATTTCCAGGAGATCCAGCCCTTTTATGACCTCAGGTACTTGCAAAGAGGTGGTGCACATACATTCATGCAGGCACACATACACAAGCACACACATCTTTGATGATAATAGTAATACAAGTATTAATCATTGACAATGAAAATTAGATACCGTAAGATCATGAAGTGACAAATGCCTATAGATAGTCTGAGCACTCAGAAAGCTAATTCAGAAAGGACTACAGTTCAACAGTATGAGACCGTTTCAGAAAAAGAACTACCAGTTGGATGCAGATATGATCAAGACACATTTTACAATATATAAAATAATCAAGAATACATAAAAAATAATTTAAAAAAGTGCTACTGGCCGGGAGGTGGTGGCGCACGCCTTTAATCCCAGCACTTGGGAGGCAGGGGCAGGCGGATCACTGTGAGTTCGAGGCTAGCCTGGTCTATGAGAGTTAGTTCCAGGACAGGCTCAAAAGCTACAGAGAAACCCTGTCTCGAAAAACCAAAAAAAAAGCTACCATATATCATATGACTTTCATATACAGAGAGATGACATCACTCACAAAAAAATGAAGAATATACACACTTTTATCTATTTTTGCTATAGTATACTGTATTTAAAAATTTTCAAATAGTTCCTAAGTGTTAAAAGGTAAACAGCATATTTCATAGACACTAACATAAAACTATGGTAACATGCTAAGGCTTCAATTAAAGAAGCTAATGAGCTGGCAGTTAATACTGTGTTTTAGTTGATGTTACAATTCTATTTCATTGAGGCTTTCATAACATCTATGTGGAGAAGGAAAACAACCAATGCCAATTTCCTTAAGAAGTTTTTTTTAAAGGCCAGTTGTGGTGACACACACCTGTAATCTAGTACTTAGGAGATGGAGAAAAGAGGATCAAGACAAGTTTGAAGCAATATAGCAAGTCTGATAACCTAGACTTACTTCATGAGGCCCTGCCTAAAACAAAAGGAACAAAAATACCAGACTATCCAAAATTCACAATGAATGCCAGCTAGATGGCTCATCAGGGAAAGACATCTGCCATAAGCCTGAAGACCTAACCTAATTTCCATCCCTGGAATGTATGTAGTAGCATAAATTTGACTCCTGCAGGCTGTCCTCCAATCTCCACAAGTGAGCTGTGGCATACTGCCCTCCCAACACAAGAGAAATGGGAAAAAAAGAAAGAAAACTGAGGTACAGGGAAAGGTTATGTTATAATAAAGTTGAAAAATGTAAGTTTATGATTAGTATATTTGTAATTAAAGAGGATGAACCAAAGGTGAAGTACTGAATTAATGTTTTGGGAGTTTTGCCCTTGCAAAGGTAAGTACTGGTATCGTATATCCTACCTCCTATTCTCAAGGTTAGAGTACTTTCCCACAGAGGAGAGAGGTAGAGAGCATTGTAACTCTGGTGGGTAAAGACTATATTTCTGCCCTTTCTGGTCACGTTCATATCCATTTTTATTGCATGAATTGCTAATTGCTCTTTGCCTATAAATGGTAAACCTCTTCTACCATCCTACGCCCAGATAGTTATAGAGCATCAACTCATCTTGAAAGGTGTATGAGGCAGTAAAACAGTAATTTAAAGCAGTCACTAAAGTATATTTCTAGAATCCTTGAGAAAACAGATTCTTACCTTAAGTAGTTGTTTTCCAATTGTTGGGCTCATCTTTTCATCTACCATAAGAATTACAATTCCTCTGTCATCCATTCCCCTCCTTCCAGCACGGCCAGACATCTGGATGTACTCACCAGAGGAAATCTGAATACGATAGCATTTTCAAGTTTAGGAGAAAATCTGGTTAAAAAAGTATATCCTGATATTTTCTTTTATTGTAGCATTCACAATTTACACATTTCATGAAACCATTTAAAGAATTTCTGAGAAAGTTAAGGCACAACAATGAAAAGCATGTGGGACTCTCATGAAACTTAGGTTTTAGTTCTAAAATGACTTATCTATGCACTAAACCAACAACTGTCAGTATCTGAAAGCCAGCTACCAGGAAATACTGGCTAACATACTAACATAAAAAATACCTTTCAACTAGATATTATGAAAAACAAAACAAAACCCCAAAACTTAAGAACACTAACAACAAAGCAAACTCAACAACTACAACTTCTTTCTTCACTATAATAACTTCTTAATCTTCAAAGTTAAATTAACATGAAAATGCCACCCACCCATGGAGGGGGGTACAATTCTTGGTAGATGTCTCTGGGGGCTAGTAGATTCACTTGTCAGAAAGACCATCTAGTGGGGAAAGATCAGGCTTTTTGACCTTACAAAGGCAAAGAAACTGACAACCTAAAATACTGGTATCCTGTTTGTCCAAGGATCTTAAGGAGGCAGTGAATAGGCTGGGGGTGGGGGGAGGCAGCAAACCTGGAGGTCTAAAACCAGGTCTTAGTCTCACTTCACTAGAATGGGACAGAGCTGAGCCAGCAGGTCTCATGAAAACCACAATTTATGGGTAACCATCAGTAAGCACCCCCAAAGCCCTTCTGCTGGCTCAGCAGGTCTCCAAAGTACTTCTGTTAGCTCAGCAGGCCCCCAAACCCCACCAAAGCCCCTCTGCTAACTCAGCAGATGCCCCCCCCCCAGACTTACGCAAGCTAAAGACAGCTTCCTCTACCCCACTACGGGAAAGAGCCTAACCACTAGGCCTCCCACCAGTCAGCTCTCAGCCTAATATTTCCTCCACCAATCAATCCCAGATTAATCCCTCCTCTTTGAAATTCCCCTAACTCTGCTTAAGATGAACTTGTGACCTTCTTAGGGGCTCACTCTTTTGCCACCCCATGGTGGAATCAATAAAACGCTCTTATTATTGCATATGTGATTGTTGGTCTTCTTTGGGGGCTTTTTCTCGGACCCTAGCAGCAGCACTGAACCACCTGAACAACCAGCCATGACTTCCACATGTGCCTGTGTACTTTACTCCTATAGAGAAGGTCCAGATCTATGCTAGACTTATGACTAAGGAAGAATTAAGAATCATTGTTTAAGAAGACATACTGATAGCCTAGAAAGAAGGAGGATATCAGAAAAAAGAACAAAAAGACTACTAATAAGATTAGATGTTTCAAAATGCAGCCCAAAAAATCTGAGTGGAATCCAAAGGCATCATTACATTGCAGGTCTCCCTATGTAGCCCTGTGTGGCCTAGAACTCACTATTACAGACTAAGATAGTCTCAAAGCTGCCCTTACATTCTAAACGCTGGGCCTGCAGATGTGAGCCACCATACACAGCTCGGGTTTTTGTTTTCACTTTAGGACCCCAGTATCTATCAGCACTCTACTTCTGCATCCTATGCTTAGTAACCACTGCTGAATGAGATATTTGCCTTGAGATCAGATTCACACTTTAGCCAAATTCAATGTTTCAGCAATACTCTCAACTTTCCTTCCTCCTTGGAAAAGAGATGTGTATAAACTGTTGTGGCCCTCTAGTCTAAAAGGTGAAGTCTAAGTGGTGCTACTACAGCTGTTGCAGCAGTGTGCTTTAAGTAACTTCTTAAATCATTGGCACGCTATTGCTGAAGGAAATCTGACTAAGGGGCTAGGGTACAAATCAAAAGGATCTAAGGTTTAATATTGATGAAACTTGCTTCTTAACATGATTAGGAGTAGAAGTACTTCAGATTTTAAGATATCTCCACAAACCTGAACATCACTTATCTGGAAATCTAACATCTGATATGTCTCCAATTCCAATACATTTGGAGACACTATATCAGTGTTGAAGCTTTAGACTTTGAAGTAGTTTAGATTTTCATATTAGGGAAACTCCACTTCAAACTTATATTTGAAGGTCTTAAACATTTGGAACTAAAAACCTCAATGATATGACCCAAAGTCATGTGAGAGAAAATAAAGATTAGTTATTATTTTTAAATACAGTTAGTTACTTACCCATCTAAAATCCTTCCCATCAAATTTACGGGCATTTGTAAATAAAACAGTTCTAGCTGGCATATTAATTCCCATAGCAAAAGTCTCTGTGGCAAATAAGGCCTAAATAAACAAGCAATTATATAATTAGTTAAGGGATTTTAAGGTTAAAAACTGCTATAATTTACAAGCGTAATAAAGCTGGCATTAATTTTTACACTTAGTTCTTTAATAATGCTTTGTAAAAATAACTGACAAGATGAATTCTGGATCTATTAAATAATACATATTACATAATATAACATGGCACAATTATGATGGACAGAAGTATTGAATAATAAGCACAATCAATTTTCCTGGCTTTTTCACTGATAATGAAGTAGTTCTGAAGATCACTTTACAATTAGGTTTCTTTAAAAAAAAAAAAAAAAAACAAAACATTAAGTTTCTAGGGCAGTACAGACTCATGACTGCTGAATCCGAGGCCTTTATCAACAAAAACAGTTGGTTTAGTCATACAAAGCTCTAAGTCAATAAAGTATTAAATATTCATAAACAGGAAAGATAATACTTCATCAACTCAAAAGAATACTAGTCATTAGAAAATGAACCATCTACATGCCAAAGTAACAACAGCAATACAGTAACCTTTTGTTTGCAAAAAAGTCATATAATATTTGAATGTATGCTGTGAAGATTTTTGGGAAATAGGGGGAAAGATGAACTTTCTTCTTTTATTTACCACTATTTTACTTTAATTCAACTTATACTCTTGAAAAATGATCCATTAATTATTAAGCTTAGCAAAATTTATAATTTATAGAAGAACATTATCAAGGACTTACTAGGATCTGAGTGTAAATACTAACACTTCATTAAAATAGTATTTCTTCTAAACGTTCTTCTTAAGGCTGAGGACTCTCAGGATAAAACCAGAAATAGTCATATACTAAAGTTGTTTCCTATTTCTAATATCCCACTTCTTGGGATAGGCATCAGTTTTTTTTTTTTTTTTAAAAAAAAAGATCAAACTAGACTCCCACTGAGTGCAACTGAATATCCTAAAAACAACTCATATCTAAACTAACCCTTTAAAAAATCAATCAAGGCGGGCAGTGTGGTGCACGCCTTTAATCCCAGCATTCGGGAGGTAGATGTAGGCAGATCTCTGTGAGTTCGAGGCCAGCCTGGTCTACAAGAGCTAGCTCCAGGATAGGCTCCAAAAGCTACAGAGTAACCCTGTCTTGAAAAATCAAAAGAAAAAAAAAAAATCAATCAAGTCTGAGGGAGATGAGCAGTTACCCAGTCAACTCAAGTCTATTAGCACATTCTGCATTGTACTGCAGCCAGGTGGTGTCACTTCCATGAGAAACTAAACTTTTTTATGCATACTTCCTTTTTGAAAGGGTGCTATGTCAAGTTCATCACCTAAAGTAATGCACTTTCCTAAGGCGTTCTATACAAACTAATTTTGTAGAAAGTAGATGAAATACAAAGCTAGCAGACGCACTAGCTCACACCCATAACCCAGCACACAATGGGCAAAGCAGGAGGACGGTTGCTGGAGGACAGCCTGGCAACTGTGTCAGAAAAAGACAGGACAAGAAAAGATCCCAAAAATCTGGCGCTGGGTCTGGGTGGTAAAAGGCTGGTTTGGCCTCCAACACTGTGAATTCAAACAACAACAACAAACTCGTCTGTAAGCAATGGTCACTAGAACTTAACATTGCTCATACAACAGAATTTTGAGACATAAAAAAATTAAAAAACAATACCTTTATCAATCCTTCAGAAAAGAGAATTTCTATAGTTTCCTTCAAAATAGGAAGTAAACCACCATGGTGAATACCAATCCCCCGCTTCAAAAGAGGAAGTACATGCTCAACCTGAAATTTTGAAAAAAAAGTTTGTTATAAGGAAAAGGAATTTAAAATGTAAAACTTGAAAAAATATGTAACTAAACAAGAAAACATTTGTATTTAAAAAAACTTTAAAAGAAAACTTTCCCAGAATAAAGGAAAAATCAAATCCATATTCCCGCATATTAAACTAGAAATATAACTGTGGCCTAGCTTTAACATGACAACCATGTTTAAATACATACAAGTATTTTGCTCCTCAAAGTCGTAAGCTTTATGAGTTAACTCCCACACAAAAGTCTAGGCTGTGGTAGCAGGAGCTGTAAAATGGCATGGAGGTTTACACTCATAGTCCCAGCTATTCCAGAAGTTGAAGCAGGAAACCCTTTATCTCTTAAAAACTAAATCAATACACTCAAAAGATCTTGGCAGTTCAAACTCTTAACTACCAAACATTAAAGTATAAACTTTAGAATCAAAAGAACAGCTAGCCGAAGAGTGCATTCTCTACAATGCTGCCAAAGCCCACATTCTAACTGTTTTAGGATAAAATGCACCAAGCCACAGAGCAGCCATTCAACACTCACCATTCACCTAGGAGGGAAAAGCATCTTAAAATTTCCAAGTTAAAACACCATTTGAAATTCCAAGAAACATGCTCCTGTAATTGTAGGGTAACCTAAATCCTCTGAAAACCAAAACATTCATTTGTAGATCACAGTATAACCTTCAAAATTTTCCTTTTGTCTTAATCTACAGATGAACAGCAAATGATATGGGAAATTTTAAAGATTCTACCGACTGGGATTCAAACTAGACCAAGAAATTAAAATCCCTGGGAGTGGCGCCTAAGTGTTAGCATATTTTAGATGCCAAATCAATTCCAACAGTGAAAGAAAAAGTATGAACTAGATTAAAGCAAAGCACCTATTTCTTTCTTTCTTTTGTTCAAGACAGAGTTTCTCTGTGTAACAGTACTAGCTTTCTTGGAACTTGCTCTGGAGAACAGGCTGGCCTTCAACTTCCCAAAAATGTGTGCACCACAGCCCAGGTGATAATTATTTCTTAAAGAATAGATAACTTTCATTAGGTATACTCTCTTTTTTCAATATTCTTATGAAATGAGAAAGTTAATGACTTAATAATCAACAATAAAATTTCTGTTATACAGAAATACAAGAAACAATTTCTAGATTATGCTATGTCCTCTTTTAAAAATCCCTCAGGTGCTGGGCAGTGGTGGCACACGCCTTTAATCCCAGCACTCAGGAGGCAGAGGAAGGCGGATCAGATCACTGTGAGTTCGAGGCCAGCCTGGTCTATAAGAGCTAGTTCCAGGACAGGCTCAAAAAAAAAATAAATAAATAAACAAATAAACCAAAACAAAACCTCCCACATGCAGTAAATCTTTGCTTGGCACCCTTTTAGCAAGTTGAAACATATATGAAGGTGCTTGAGAGCATAGGCCAACTATGCTACAGTGCAATAAAATTAGTAACTATGATATAAATGCCTACTACCTGCTAAAATCCACACTTACTGTAGTAACTCACCTGAGGGAGCTTTTTATCTTCATCAGACAAGCAGTCAATTGCATTACTGAATACTTCTTCAACCATCTTCTTTTCTTCATCTGTGAGAAAAATATGAAAGTGAGTTGGTGATGCTAGGCAGTGGTGGTGCAAGACTTTAATCCACTCAGGAGGCAGAGGCAGGTGGATCTCTGAGTTCAGGACCAGCTTGGTCTACAACATGAGTTCCAGGATAGCCAGGGATGGTTCACAAACAAACCCTGTCTCAAAACACCAGAAAAAGAAAAAAAAAGTCAGTGATCCTAAGATCCTAAATTTCACTCATTAAAAAAAAATAAAAGTCTATATAAAACTAAAGAATCAGTTTTTTTTTTAAGCAACCCAGCACATAATAAAATTTACTGTCCTTGACACTCACCTAGCAGTCTTAATCTAAGGAAAAGTTAATAAAAATAGTAAGAATTTCAATGGACTGAGGCAAGAGTGCTGTGTGAATTCCAGACCAGCTAGGGCTGTAGTAACAATAACTACACCAAAGTGCTTTAGAGGCAACATTAACTTCTACTACCTGCAGGTTCTTACACATCTGTTACCACTCTGAGGTAACTGGGGCTAGTGTAAATAAGCACTGCACTTAACTGAAGCGAAACAATTCCAAAGCCCATACTGCTAGTGACTACATTTTGTCTTTACTGTGTCAATCAAATAACAGACTGCTCAAAAAATACTTGATAAATTAATCAAATTATAACCCTGAGACCTAGCATGCTTATAAGTGGTGTTTATAATACTGCAAGCTATAAGCTAAGCAATTTATCTGCCATCTTACTTTAGCCATGGGAAAGATTTTAAGTACATAAAGAGAATAGGACAACTAAGTTTTGGTTTGGGTTGTTTTGTGACAATATCTACTATGTTGCCCAAGCTGGTCTCACATTCAGTCCTCCTACCTCAGCTTCCCAAGTGATGGTACTATAAGCATCTCCATACCTGGATACAACTAAAATTAATTTTGGGTTACTCAGTATTTCTTAATATATTTATTATTTGGATTACCTACACAATAGGAAGGACTGAATAACTCCTTGGCTGGCAGTCTTGGCTAGGGTATGCTACTATACAGCTGTACAACTTTAAGTGAGGTACATTCACAGTGAATCTACATCTGCTAAATGTTTTAGAGAATTCAGCATACTTGAGGCAAAGAGTGGGTCTAGTTTGCTGTAAGAATGAAGCACAGTGCTTTTGATGAATTATTCTGACCAAGAGACCTACCCTTAATGAATCAGAGACAGATGCAAAATAGCTAAGTTTATAATAATGAAGTACAATAAGGTATGACTGTAATGGTTCTCAGTAATGTTAGAACCATGCAGTTATTATATCTTCCAGTAAAATAGGAGAGGGCCAAAGATTTAGCTGTAGTGGTACAGTGCTTGCCCAGCATGTACTAGGGCCAAGGAGAGAGGGAGGGGAAGAAATTCAGAGACCCTTATAAAGCTTTTACAGGTGCTGAGCACATACTATTATTATAAACAAACTGCATGCTAGTACACAGACGTATGACCAACACAACACTAAAACCACATGGAAGCTATATAATACCTGTGTTGAAATCTAATTTAGTCATTTGAAGAGCATATGCTTCACAATCTTTCTTACTAAAGCTGAAGATAATTACAGGTTGAAAATTTCTTTCCATAATCATTTTCACAATCTTGAACACATTTGATGGACCTGCACAGGGCAAATAAATCACATCCCAAATTAACTCAAAATGGACAACAGACTTAAATATATAAACATATTATAAATAAATATATAAATATTTAAATAAAATAAAAAAAAAGATCTTCATAATCAGCCGAACACAGTGGTGCATGCCTTTAATCCCGGTACTCAGGAGGCAGAGGCAGGTGGATCTCTTGTGAGTCTGAGGAGAGTTCCAGTAAGTTCCAGAATAGACAGCGCTGTCCTGAGAAACCTTGTCTTGAAAAACTAAAAAAATTTCATATCTTCACAATCTTGATTAGACAAACCAGCAGTGGCTGACATGAGGGGTAGAGGCAGTTACGACAAAAAAGAAAAGGTGAGACTATATTCACCAACATGAGAGACACTGTGCTTTGACAAAGCAGCAAGTGGAGAACCAACCCCAGTCTACGATAACACAGAAACAACAAACTCAAGTTATCTACTGATATAGGTCTACCCAGAATATAAGAACTTTTATAACTCAACAAAGACAACTGAATACAAAGTCAGGCAGTGGAGATGCCGAGGCAACGGCCGGCTCAGCAGCTAAGAGCCCTTGTTTCTCAAAGAGGACCAGAGCTGGCATTCCAGCACTCATGACACATGGCTCTAAAACATCCATAACTCCAGCTCCATGGATCCCAATGGCACAAATACAAACAGATACACATACACACATAAGATAAATTTAAAAAAAGAAAAATAATTTTTTTACAAGCATGGTGGTGCATGCCTTTAATTCCAGCACTTGGGAGGCAGAGGCTGACAGATATCTGTGAGTTTAAGACTAACTTAGTCCATAGAGTGAGTTCCAGTACAGCCATGGCTGTAACAAAGAAAAACTCTATCTTACAAAAACAACAACAACAAAAAAATCAAACAAAAACTTTTAAATAGACAAGATCATAACAGATATTAATCCCATACTGTGAGATGCCAAAAGTATATAGTACAAAGTTCAGCATCAGTGACCACAGGAGACAGAGATAAAGAGCACACTGAAAGATGGCTTCACTTTTACTAGAAGGATTATAAATAGATACACACTAAGTACCAGCCTAAATGTTCAAGGAAACGATACCCAGATACACTCCTCAGAGGACTAGCATGAAGAATGCTAAATGGTGTAGTTACTTTGGAAAATAATTTGGCAGTAACCAAAAAGTTAAACTTACCCAGGAAAAAAGAAAACACATATTCCCACAAAAACTTGTAGTATAAGCCAAATGTTTATGAGCTTATTCATAATCAACAAAAAAATAGAAACAACTCCATATTTACTCAATGTATATTCTTAGATTATTTGGACACATAGAACATAATATAAAATCATATGAATCCCCCTCTTTTTATTGAGACAGGGTTTCTCTGTAGCTTTGGAGTCTGTCCTGGAACTAGCTCTTGTAGACCAGGTTGGCCTCAAACTCAGAGATCCGCCTGCCTCTGCCTCCTGAGTGCTGGGATTAAAGGTGTGCGCCACCACTGCCTAGCTGAATCTTATTTCACTCAAAGGAATCAGCTACAAAAGACCATATGATTCTATTTTTGAGACATCCAGAAAAGGAAAATTCACAGACAGAAAAAAAAGCAAAAACCAAAACTACTGATGACCTAAGTCTCTGTTAAAAGAAGAAAAAAAGATGAAGAATGATTGCTAATGCACAGGGTTTGAGAGAGAAGAGTTAATGAACATGCTTTAGAAATATACAGTAGGGACAGTTGTACAGTTCTATGAATAGACTAGAAATTATCAAGATGCATATCTTAAAATAATAAATTTCATAATATTTAAATTTTATGAAAATTTAGGGCTGACTTTGGATTATGTGAATATACCCAAACCCACTAATTACCCGCTTAATGTGAGTATATATATTACAGTAAATTAGTTAATGCCATGTAAGAAAAACAGATCACCCATTATTCATCCAATTTTGTCATCTTTACATAGTTTCCTCAAAAAACATCAAATAAAAGGCAATATAGAGTAATTTAGCTATTCAATTTACATGTACAATTCCTGTCTAAAAACTAAGTTCCAAATTACCTTTTGTTCCTCCTTTCCGTCCCTTCTGATCTCCTTTGGCCAAATCACCTGCATCCCGAAGCACTTGCATTGCAGTATTAAAATTATCTTCTCTGAAGTCACCCTAGAATCATATTTTCTTCCATGTAACTGTGCAAATGTATAATCAAGGCTAGAGAGATGATTCAGTAGTTACGAGTAGTTCTTGCAGACAGCCTAGGTTCGGTTCCTAGAACCAAGTTGTTGGCTCAGAAATATTTAATCATAATCTAAACATTTCTTTGTTTGTTTGTTTGTTTCGAGAGAGGGTTTCTCTGTAGCTTTGGAGCCTGCCCTGGAACTAGCTCATGTAGACTACGCTGGCCTCAAACTCACAAAGATCCGCCTGCCTCTGCCTCCTGAGTGCTGGGATTAAAAGCATGTGCCACCACTGCCTGGCTTAATCTAAACATTTCTTAAATGCAAAGTTTCTCCAAAGAATGAAACTTTAAAGCAAAAATAATAATAACAAAAGTCACTTAAAATAAGTGACCTGTGAAAACAAAATGTGATAAGGGAGAACTGAAACTGAGAAGCAAGATTAAAATATCTGGCATTTCCCCAGCCCTTGATTCTCTAGTATTTCAAACACTGAGAATAAAAGGAAGTAGTCATGCGTTGGAAGAAGGTCTTGAATACAATTTGTCTTTAAAGCACCATCTCACTAGGTTCACCTCAATGTCCTGGGGACAAGCAACCTTCCTATCTGAGCTTCCCAAAGCCTGCAGGTGAGCACCACCACAGCATCATCAAATACAGTATCTGAAATATAAATACTTATAAATAATCATTTTTGAAGAGTGAAGTATTTGAGACTAAAATGTGCAGAGGGTGGTTAATAGTTTTCTACAACTCAAAATTAAGGGAAAGCAACATATAAAAGATGACATTACATATGGATTATTTCCCTTACATTTTCGTCGACCACAAGGTGAAGGCCATCTCCCCCTGCTGGAAATATATAATGTTGCAATGGAGTAGGTCGATAATCAGTATAAATTACATGACAGGGCTATAAAAACAAAGAAAGAAAATTTTATTTCTTTAAGACAAAAATGTATATTTGATCCACTCAAAAAAATTTAATGCTTTCAAATAATTTTAAAAGCTAGGCAAGCAAAAAATGGGGAAATCGCCCTACTAATTCATACGATCACCAAATTAATTTCCCAGTTCCTTAATCAAGACCAAACATGATCTGAACTTTCATTACCCATTAGCTCTTCTTAGAATACTGTAATTACAGACAACAATGCCTCTAGCTAATATGGTGACACAAGGCATCCTTGATATATAAAAACAAAACAAAACTCTTGTAGCACCGAGGCTTTTTAACACAGCAGATTGATCTAGCTCTATCTGAACATTCACTGGGCTTCCATCTTACAGAAGCAACAGCGAGAGGAATGAGACTGGACAACTTATACATAAAAGTTAGTTCTGAAAGGTAACATGTAAAACAAGTGCAGAAAATCCAATGTTTTGTTCAACACTCATAAACAAGTATTTGATGTAAAGTCTTATACAGACATTAAAGTTGTACTAGAAATTCAAAGAAGAAACAGTGATTACTAAGTGTGAACATATTTACATAAGAACTACCAAATCAAATGGTCAAGAGATGAGTAGGTTCTTCTGATCCAAGACCTTAGAACTCTAACTATGTACTTATACCTCACTGTCAGAGTAAATGGACTACATTATTTCCAAACTTGGCAGATTATCAGGATTAACTTGGGAAATTAGATTCCAAGGCCCACCTCTTAGAAGCTTAGCTAAACTAGCCTGGAGATGGGAATTTCTAATTAGTCCACTCATTCTGATAATGTACTTAACTCAAGAAGCAGATTCACATTAAACTGTCTTCTTTATCCTTAAGAGCATCAGGAAAAGGTATAAGAAAGGTATGGCAATCCCAATCAGTAACATTTTTAAATAATGAAGACATGAAAAGTGTATGAAAGTACCTGTTTATGTAGGTGGCAAATCCATTCAGCAAACTGTCGAGCATTCGGGATAGTAGCAGAAAGAAAGACATAATGGACATTATCTGGAAGCAAAATAATAGTTTCTTCCCATACTACACCACGCTCTGAGAAAAATAAATGGATTGGAATTAAGTGTTAACTAAGTGATAGTATCTAAAATTATTTTCTCTAATGCTTACTAATTGAACATGCAAACCACTTTTAAAAAGCATATTTTTAGCCACAGACACTTACTGAAACCTACTTTAGTTCATGAACCTTTGGAGTAGACACAATACGGAAGCAACTTCACGCAGGATGGACTCAGGAAAAAGCAGCTCCAGACTGTACCCTTCCCCTAACAAACAAGAGCCCCAGTACCAAGGCAGCTAATAGTAGTTCTGCTTCAGAGAAGCAGAGGTTAACAATGCCCAGCAACACATTTGAAATATATGCTATAACTAGTCCATATGATATGTTACCCAAATTACCCTCATAATCTCAGAAAATAAAAGATGGATCTGATGAATAGTAGATATGAAGTTGGTAAAACTCTGTTAAAATGTCCTAGTAACATTAAATCTATCTCTAAATTAATAATATTCGCTACTTGTTTTATAATAGACAGTAAGTATTAAAATACTTTTAAAGTATCAATGACTTAAAATACTTAGTTGAATTTTTTATACAGTTTCAAAGTTTTGAATATATAGTTTCAAAAGCAATGGCTCTTTGTTCTATGTAATTTTTGTTTCCCTGTTCACATCTGAATATTGATTTGAATAAATCAAGTTTTTTAGAACTTACATAGTATTATATTTAACTTTTTAATCATAGTTAAGTTTGCATATCACATGATTTGGGTTAAGAGTCTATATAGTACTCAGTGTTTCTATGTAAGTGTGGGTGGGTGGGGGTGTGCGTACACCCCCATGGCACGGTACTTGTTTGGATGTCAGAAAAGAACTTTTTAAGAGTCTGTTGTCTCAACCAGGCATGGTTGTGCACACCTTCAATCCCAGCACTCTGGAAGCAAAGGCAGTGGATCTCTGTGAGTTTGAGGCCAGCCTGGTCTGCAGAGTGAGTTCCAGAACAGTCAGGGTTAAACAGGGAAACCTTGCCTTGAAATATCAAAGAAAAAGAGTCAGTTCTCCCCTAATACACAGAGCCTGGGATTGAGCTCAGGTGGCCAGTATTAGTGGCAAGAGGCACAACCCACTAGCTGGCCCAAAACCCATTATTTTTAAAGCAAATAGAAAATGAGTTCAGAAGTATCTATGTGAATTTGGCAAAGGTAAGTATTGATGTTTTCTTACATTGTATTATTTTAGCAGTTCTCAACCTGTGGGCCGTGACCCCAGGGGGATACATATCAGATATTTACAATTCCTAAAAGTAGCAGAAACACAGTTATCAAAGAGCAATGAAATAAGTTGGGGGGGTCACTACAACATGAGGAACTGTATTGAAGGGTCGTAGCATTAGAAAAGTTGAGAACCACTAATATAGACTCAGTTTTTTAAAAAAACCCCAATCTTCCCCTCCCTGCAACAGGGTTTCTCTGTGTATCTCTGGCTGTCCTGGAATTCATTCTGTAGACCAGGCTGGCCTCAAATTTACAGAGATCCGTCTGTCTTTGCCTCCCTGAGCGCTGGGATTAAAGGTGTGTGCCACCACTGCCTGACAATAAAACTCAATCTTACTTTGAGTGTGCACATTTTAAACATTAGCTTTAAATTTATCAAATTTCCTGCTACACCCCAAATTGCAACTATAGCAATTTTATTTACTTATTTCAAACCTATTGTATTTTTTTCACAAATATGCATTCATAGGTTTATAAAACCAAATTAACTTAAAAATTACTAAAGTAATCTTTGTAAACCAGAAGTTCCATAATTTTTTTCACATTAAATAATTACTGAGAATTGAGTTTTGGTGATACACAACTTTAATGCCAGCACCTGAGAGGCAGAGGCAGGTGGGTAGCTTTTAGTTCGAGGCCAGCCTGGTCTACAGAGCTAGTTCCAGGACAACCAGCGTTACACAAAGAAATCTTCTATGTAAAGGCAACCCCCCCCCCCGCAAAAAAATAAAATAAAATAGTTATTGGGCTTCTAATATGGGGAAGGAAAGCAAGGTCTTGGTAGGTGGCCTAGATTCCCATTTACCTCATTTCTTCCTACCTCTGTCTCCCCTATCTTTCTGTCTAAGCTTCACAACTGCTAGTATTATAGTCATGCACCATGTCTGGCTTAGTGAGTTCTATCTAAAAGCAGGCTACTTTTCAATTCCTACTGGGAAAATTTCATGTTGTTCACAATTTGAATATGTAATAGTAAAGTAGAATTATAGACACAAGAAAACTGAAAATAAATCCAACAATTCTTAATCAAAAATATTAATGGCATTTGTCAAGAAAAAAAAAAGCATGGCATTTATCTCAACACTGCAAAATATACCTGAATCTCTCATGTAATGAATTTCATCAAATATGACCCAAGCAACTTCTCGCATAACTTCAGAACCTCTATACAGCATACTTCTCAAAATCTAAAAGGGGGAAACAGATTGAGCAGGACTTTAACATAACATCCAATAATTAGACAAATACTGCTTTTGTCCAACAGGGAATTTTTAATACCTTTGCTTTGTTGATATATTAAATATTATAAAGCTACTTATCTTTGACTTCTCAACACGTATAATCAGATATTCACAAAGATACTATTATCATATCTACTCTTTCATTTGGAATATGAACTCAACTTTCTCTGTGCAACATCTTCCCAAAAGACACATATGAAAGTATGTATAAAAGTCCTAATAAGGGAGCCTGGTGAGATAGTTCAGTGGAATCTAAGTTCAATCCCCAAAAATAAACACATAAAGGTGACTCCACAACATTCTCCTCTGACCTTGACACACGCACTGTTGTACATGTATCCGCCCCCACACTATACACAGAGATACATATATGTACAATTTTTTAAATACCAACTACAGTAGAAATAATCACACTCAAATCATGTTATATGCAAAACTTAATAGTGATTAGAAAAAGCTAAGTATAATGTGGAATATATATTTTTTAAAGTTGATTATTTATTTACTGATTGTAATAAATACCCAGGCACAAAAGTAAAAAACAAAACCAACCAACAACAACAAAGAAAACCCCATGAAACAAACAAGACAGTATTTGTATGAAACAATGTATTCAAATCCTTGAAACTATACATACATAAAATAACCAAGTATTTTTAAGTCGCAGTAATAACAAACTATTAAAAATACTTTTAAAGGTGTCTATGTTTTATCAGAAGTAATAAATATTATTAATTTAGGAAATAGTCAATGCTACTAGGACACTTTACAGTAATTATGCCTTTTTCAAACAATTCTATCCACAGATAATCATTACATTTTATCTGAAAAAAAGCAAGCTGGATAGATACACTGACTAAGCTATAATGAAAAAGTCAGGGGAGACTCAATGTAAATCACCTCTGTAGTCATAACAAGACAAGATGCTGTAGGATTAATAGTGACATCTCCAGTCATCAGACCGACATCTTGAAACTCTTCATACATTTCACGGTATTTCTGGTTACTAAGAGCCTTAATTGGGCTGGTAAATATTACACGCTGCTTTTCCCTTAAAGCCAATGCAATTGCATACCTAAAAATATAAAAACAATAAGTAAGATTTCAAGTTTGGAGAGCATTCATTCATAATCTATTTACTATAATAAACTATTACACTATAATCATGATTTATCTGATCTGAAGTAGTCTAAATAAGCAAGGACTTCTTAAGGAGTTAAAACAATTGGTTTATCAGTGGATACCCTAGTTCTCACTGGAAAAGCCTTTCGTTCTACTGCTAGGCATCCAAAAGTCCATCACTCAGTTCATACAGATTACAAATAATAAAAAAAAACTACAGAAATGGGTGGATTTTTCTTCTACAGCTTCATAAAATGAGTTAATCCATATGTACTCTTTTTCTTCATGTAATACTTAACAAATCATTTCTTGACTTATCATAGGTTCTGTTTATCAAAAAGTTCTTTCCTGGGCATTAACAGAATTCAATACAATTGTATTGTTTGCTTTTAAAATTCAGTTTAGTATTTAACTACAGGACCATGAAATTAAGATTTAAGAAAAAAACACTGTGGCAGAGGCTTTTTAAAGATATAATTCCTGCACAAACTATGCTTATCACAGCAGTCATTCTCTACATTATAAGAGAAATTTTATAAAATTAATAATTGTTCAAACATGTCAAATAGTAATAGTGAAAGATATATATGGGAAAACAAATACAGAGATGTTGCTTATCTTTTCAACAACAACAACAAGGAATAGAAAACAGAAAAATATGATCTGTACTTAGGGAAAAGTACACATAAAGAATTGAATAATTGGGTACAAAGGTTGGATTTGTTAGAAAAACAACTTGAAATCAGCAACAGAGATAGCAATTTTCAGAACCATGTCCCTCAAAACACAGGGGACTATGTTCTTAGAATTAAAAAGAAATAGAACAATGACTCCACAAGCAGGCATTCTTAACATGAAAATGTAAACTATTAACAATCTAAGCAAATGGAAACTCTACACAGATTGAGGAAGTAGCTCAATAGTAGAGAATTCGCCTACATACACAAAGTTCTGGGTTTGGTCCCAGAACACTTGAAACAACAACAAAACAAGCTGGAGAGATAGCTCAGTGGTTAGGAGCACTGGCTGCTCTGACAGAGAACCTACATGGTGGCCCTCAATCTATCTGTATTTTTAAGATCAGTTTGAGGGAATCTGATGTCCTCTTCCAACTTCTGTGGGCACAGGCAAAACATAAAATAGAAAATAAAAGTAGAAAAAAATAGCCAGGTATGATGGCAAACAACTAAAATCTAGGGAAACACACACACACATTAAAAACAAAACAAAACAAATATTCTATGGAACAACCTTTAGGTTAATGGAAATTTCAAAATGATAAACGATATAAAACAAAAACAAAAAAAACCTTTAATAGCTAATGTCTGAATCTAGGATTATGACCAACACCAAAAATAAATAAACTGAACTCCCAGCAAAAACATCAAAACAACTACTATAATATCTAAGATGAAACATTCATTCTCCTTTGTCTTTTATTTGATGTTTTCTCAGGAAGCTACGTAAAGATGACAAAATTGGATGAATGAAGGGTGTTCTGTTTTTCTTACATGGCATTTCCAAAGGATCCAACATCACCATTGGCATAAGCAAGTGTGTGTACACACACATATAAAGTCTTCAAAGAAGCCAAAAGGAAGCAATACATTACATCCAGAAGAAAGTAAGAATGAGAGAGATTGCTTGCCAAGTTATGCAGATCAAAAAGAAATATTTAAAAACAAATGTTTTAAAAAATAAACAAGCATAATTTTTTACAATGTTAAAGCAGTTTTTCATCAGGAGACTTGTACTGAAATACTTCAAGAATTTTTTCATGCAAAAAGAAATGGTATCAGTAGAAAAATCTGGACCAGCATCAACAATAATGTCTTTTTATATTAAGATATATTATTTTAAAACAGTAAAACATTTCACTAATAGTAAAAAAAATCTGTAAAACTATATAAACTTTAAATGCCTATTAGGAAAAGGAAGGTTTCAAACCGACTACTCCATTTTACTTAGAAAGTAGGAGAACAAAGTAAGTAAATGAGGTGAAAGTACAAACAAAAGAAATGGAAACAGAACAAAGAAAAACCAATGAGACCAAAAGCTGGATTTTGTCAGAGCAACATAATACTAGATCACCTCCAGCTAGATCAAGAAAAAAATCAAATATTGGCTTGATACAAAAGTCCAATGTCCCTCAGAATAAAGATGTGAAATTTCTAAATAAAATTTTAATTCATCAACCCAATAATAAAATATAATCATACATCATGACAAACAGAAGTTATCTAAGGATGATTCATTGGACACCCAACACATTTCATCACACTAGCAAGGAAAGGCAAAAATCCATATCCAAAACAAAACAAAACCCCACATCATTTCAATACAAGAAAAGGAACTTAAAAAAATCGAGTTTATAAATTCATGCATATGAACAGAATAAGAGACTAACTGCAAAGGAGGAACAGTAGTCAAGCTTGATAAAAACACATCTATGAAAAACCCACAAGTAACATCATGCTTAATGATAAAAAAAACCCAAAATATTTCACAAATAATTAAAACATTATACTAAAAATCTTCAATATTTTAATGAAGGCAAGAAAAAAAACTTAAAGGTTACCTAACAAGCAAAACCACTCTTATTTGCAGAATACAGACAGAAACTTAACTAAAACTTAGCTAAAATAACTAAGTGACTTGTCTATTTCATTTGCGAACACTGTTGGTTACTTACTCAGCACACACAGTTTTTCCTGCTGATGTATGAGCAGACACTAACACAGACTGATTATTATCGACACACTGAATGGCTTCTCTTTGGAAAGCATCAAGAATAAATGGGTATTCCTATAAAAGCAAATTGACAGACACATGAGAATGTTAAGCTATCTAAGGAACGCTTAAAAGAAAAATTATCCTTCCAAAGCCTTCTAGGATTCCTTTCTGATTCAACCACCACTAAGCAGTGAAAAAAATGACTTCAAAACAGTTTTACCAGACAGAACAAGCCTTGATGCTGCTGTTTAACATTCTCAATATATTCTATTTACACTAAAATCAGGAATAAAATAATCGTTACATGTTCTGTGGTACTGTGCAATAACTTTGCATATACCTTAAATCTTCACAACCCCATAAAATAGGTGCATGCTTAACTTCCTTTCCTAAAGGAAAACTCTAAGGTTCCAAAAAATAAAATCCCCAGCATTACTCAGCAAAGGCAGAGAAATAATTTCTTAAACAAAAGAGTTCATACTTGCTTCTCTGCGCTTCCTTTTTTTAGAGAAAGCTGTTTGAAAAACTTAGCCTCACTGTTTCAACCTTTACAAACTTTTTAAAAATCTAAGGAAGAAGAGTGAGGAGGAAGAGGTGTACACGTGTAACCCCAGCACAGTGGAGGCTGCAGCAGACACATCAGGAGTCTGAGGCCCCTCTGGACAGCCAAGATAGCACAGCATAACAAAACAAACTGAACTTCAGATTCCTTAGAAGCTGCTGAACTTTCAAACTATCAGTAAAACTTATACATCATGCAATTTTTTCTACAGAAAGGTTGACAAATTTGTTAGATTCTTTAAGAAGGGTGATAAGCACTCTTTAATGTGTAAAAACATAATCACACAATGCCTGGTTTCTAGCATGGTTCTTTACTCAGTTACCACTCTATTTTGTAGTAGGTTTTTTCAAAGCACACACACAAGTAAATTTAGAAATCTCATTTGAAATCTTTTCTTTTTTAAGACCTCACAAAACTTTCCAAATAGTATAGTACAGACCTTTGCAGCCTTTCCAACTCGAGGTTTAAGTGGTATATATTCTTCATCTGCAGGAAGAGCAACCTGATGTCAAAGTTTAAGGAGAAAACAAGAAATGACTATTAAAATTCAAGACTCCAAAACAATGGATGGTTTAAAGAATGAAAATGATCAATGAATGTTTCTGTTAGTCTTACATGCTAGAAAGTCAACTGACTACAAGAACAAGGGGAAAAGTTAGTTACAATGCTCAAAAGACCCCTCTATTAATGCCCTCTATTGAAGGCAGAGCAATCAAAAACATGCACCATTATTTCCCTGAAGAAACTTTATTAGCCAAGATAGATCTACAACGTATCATGGCTACCATTATCTTTCCATATCTAATATACAGACTTTACATGGCACAGACTAATTCCTTTTCCTCTCAGGGGATATGACAGGAGAGGTGGGGTTGCCATAGGGGTTTACAGTCAGGACACTCCAACTTGACATGCTCAAGCACCTCCGTGAAGGAAGACACAAGGTATATGAGGAGAAAGTGCAAAATCAGGGGGTGGGGGTGGGACAGGAAGGATAAAGAGCTTCTGCCCTTTTCACAGCAGGCCCTGGATTGTTTGGGGCTTTTTTTTTTTTTTTTTGTAAGTCAGGGCATTGGACAGGGTCTAAAGTAAGTGTTAAAAGTGATTAATTGGGCATTATATCTCACAAACAAGTGCCACTTCTCGAAAAAGAGATTTTCAGCAGGAAACCAATTTTTAAACATATAAAGTTCTAAATCCACACCAAATGCCATTCTTACTAATCTGGAATTTCTCCACTCATTAAACAGTCTTTTTTTAAAGTAAGAGTAATAATAACCTGCTGTGAGGTTTTTTTTAAATATTTATTTATTTATTATGTATACAATATTCTGTCTGTGTGTATGTCTGCAGGCCAGAAGAGGACACCAGACCTCTTTACAGATGGTTGTGAGCCACCATGTGGTTGCTGGGAATTGAACTCAGGACCTTTGGAAGAGCAAGTAATGCTCTTAACCACTGAGCCATCTCTCCAGCCCCCCTGCTGTTGAGTTTTTAAAAAATACTTTTAATATTTTATTTATAGCCATAGAAAGGCACATGTACCTCAGTACAGTGTGGTCATCTCTCCTTCCACCCTGGGTCCAGGGATTGAAGTCAAGCCACCTAATTTGCATGGCAAACTCTTTTATCCATTGAACTATTTCGGCAAGTCCAGAATGACACAAAGTTTCTTTGTAATGATAAAAGACTTAGCAGAATGAAACTGAATGTATAATTACACTATATCCTATGTGTAAACATTCTCACTTCTAAATGGATGCTATAAGCCATCAGTGACCACCACCTAATAGGAATTTATTAGTCACTGGAGCATGACATGAAATAGCATGCAAACTGCAAAATCAGAGCTGGTCACTTTAAGAATACGAGAATAAACAAATCCTAAACACTAGTTTTGTGCTGGGTAATTCCCCTATTATTATTTTTTTAATATAATCTTTACAGCTATCCATCGGGCACATCTCATTGTTCTAAATTTATAAATTAAATAGATAATGTTCAAAGGTTAGAAAACTTGCTCAAGATTATAGTTAGGAGAAATGCTGGCCTAGCCTCTGAACCCAAAACCTCGTCACAGAGCTACAGCTCTTCCACCATATCACATGCATCCCACAGAAATGACTTAATCCCAGGGCCTTCAATGCTACAGCCTGCTGACTATCTATTTAGCAGTACAAAGAAAACCAGCATTTGTAATGCTAACCTATTGTAGGTTGTTGTACTTACCTCATGTGTACAGCCTTCAACTGTTTCAACTGATTGTACCTTCACTCTCGGCATCAGGTCTGCCAAACTTAAAGTTATTAAAATGACAAGAATTATTTTCAATAATTAGATCATAAGCCTATGTGTACTGTTAAACAAAATGACACCACCCATTATAATACTGTAAATCCAAAATATTTTAGCTATTATATTCAGACATGTTAAGTGTCTTAAATAAGCTGAAAATTAAAAACGCTAAGATCATATTTTGTTATATATAACAGACTGCTACATAGATTATTCAATAAATATCAGCTTAGTTCCACTATTTTAAATAAAATCTAGCTATTCAAGCACTATCACCACCTCAAAACACAAAATTGATTCAAAAAATCTTACACAACAGAAGGGTAAAAAATATATTTAGATGTTGCCATAATTTATAGAGATATTCTCATCGAAATCCCACACTATGCTCATCTAGGCTCTCTGAATTCTGAAAGGGCTAAACTATAAATAAATTAAACTAGATGTATTTCTATATTAGACTCATTATTATGTATTATATTTGTGATAAGTACTTTAAGACAACAAATATATTTTGGTAAAAATTCAAAAGTTCCAACAATAGGGAACAAGGACTTAAAAAATACAATCACTATTAATTGCAGTCTACTGCACTCCTGTGGGCAAATGGCGCTACCTCCGATTTTTCAGTGACCCTTTTAACATCGTTTATAGCAGATAATTTACCAGTTAAGGAAAAACAAAATCGTAAACAGCATTATCACAGTGGCAACCAAGTCATTCAAATATATTGGTATCAGGAGTAAAAGTTCCAGCTTTAAAATTCCAAGAAATACAAATATCAGACAATCCTTTTTCAGAGACATCTATGGGTCTCCCCCATCAAGAGAAGTAGTTTTGACCATCAAGCTATGGTACTACTTGCAGCAAGAAAATCTACTCTTTATACTTGTACATACTTATTCCTACCACTGAGTTATCCTACCAGTAATGAGACATCTGTAAGAAAACATCTTTTCTGCTCTTAAAAAAAAAAGTCTTCAGAATTTTTCTCAAAACTGGATTCTAAAAAATATCAAAAGAGGAATCATTTGTCTTCTAGCTCTCCATATTTAAACAGTTGTTATATGTTTCCGTGCTTATAAAATTTTAAAATAACACATTTTAGAAAACTTTATGACTATAGAAACACTACCTTAAGTCTTCATTAATTGATTCATCTATTCTGGGCTTCTTGCCAAAAATTGGTTCATCTGTGCCTTCAACATCTGCATCTCTCTTGTTTTTAACACCACTGGCTGATTCTGACTGTAATTTGGCATCCAGTCGTTTCCTGAAAAACAAACAATTAAGGAATGATTCTCAATCTTCTGCTGTGACCCTGTAGAGAAGACCAAGCAGATGCTCTTTGCCATCTTGCCTTTGTATGAGATGGCAGGCCCCAGCATGCTGGAAAGAAAATGCTCTTGCATACATGGATGGTGGTTTGTGGGACTTCTCCAGAATCCTAACACCATCAATAAAGTTCCACATATGGTAAACCCCACCATAAAAAATTATTTCATTGCTACTTCATAGCTGTAATTTTGTTACTGTTATGAATAGTAATATAAATAAATCATCTATCTGGCTCTAACTGCAGGATATCTGACATGCAACTTTCAAAGGGGCTGTGGCCAACAGGTTGAGAAACGCCAATTTAGGATAAATTCCATAGCCTCAATTCTAATTTTAAAGTAACCCCATATTATTTAATATATTATATATACTTAAAAAAGCAAAGTCATCTTTTAAATAAATGACCCAAACAAATCAAAGCTAGCCAAACTGAGAAAATTCTATAACTAGTAAAGCTGAATATTATTCCTTATATATTACATATTTTTTTGGAAGGGTTGCTTTAAATACTAAAATTCCCATTTAAAAAAAAAAGCAACAAAAATTTCATTAAGTTCATTATTCCTTAAAACAGTAGACATTAACATGAAGACTGTAAACTTTTAAAGCTCTCTCTACTATTCTGATATTATCTGGAAGAAAAAAAATTGTAAGGTTAGAGTTGAAGGTAAAGTCACAGAACTCGGGAGGCCAAGGTAGGAGGATGGAAATTCAAGGGCAGCTGAAGCTGCACAAGTGAGATTATTTCGAAAAAGACAAAGACAAGAAAGAAAGTCCAAAAAAAAAAGGCAAAAAAAAATTCAAAGTAACACTAACTGGAGCTTCATAGCTTGAAAATCTGTAATAAATTCAATCTAATTTCTACCCAGACCCTCCCCCCCCCAAAAAAAATCAATTTCATGCAAATTTTAGATTTAGCTGCAGAGGTCAAAAAGAAAGAAAATAGGGATGGAGAGATGACTCTGCAGTTAGAGCAGCACTTGCTGCAGTTCCAGAGGACTCAGGTTTATTCCCACTACCCACCCAGCAGCTCTCGACTCTCTGTAACCAGAGTACCAGGGCATCCACCCCTGCCACCTTCTGGCTTCTATGGGCACCACGCAGGCAAGTAGCACACACAAACAGACATGAAAGCAAAACACTCCTACATGTAAAAGTTTTTAAAAATTAAATAAACAATAAGGCATGGTGCTGCATGCAGGACTTTTATCCTGGTACATACAGGCGGATCTCTCTGAGTTTGAGACCAGCTTGGTCCACATAGTGAGTTCCTGGACTGCCATGCTACACAGAGAAACCCTGTCTTAAAAAACAAAAGAGGAGGAGAGACAGAGAAAGAAAGTTATTTTATTTTGTCTTTTGCTTGAATACATGTATGTGTACTGCATGCATGCCTGGTACTCATTATTTATATGATTAGTATTTCCCCATACTAGGTATAAAACCAAAAATTTTAAAATTTTGATTTTATTAACTCAGTTTGAGATGGCAGTAAGACTACTACATGTTAGTGTAATTCTGTATATGTGTATATATATTCACGCGTCCAAAGGTGCACATGTATGTATGCCTACAGAAGCTAGAGATAAACAGCCTGCTCTACTCAAATCACCTTCCATCTTATTTTTTCAGGAAACAAAGTCACAGAGATTCTCTTGTCTCCACCTCCCCAGTGCTGGGATTACAGACATGCACTGCTCTGTCTGGCTTTTCACATGGACCCTGAGGATTTGAACTCAGCTCCTCATGGTAACATGGAAAGCAATTTTCCAACAAAGTCATTTCCCTAGGCTCCTTTTTCATTTTCTTAAAACAGGTCCCACATTGCAGCCTTAAGCTCATGGTAATCTTCCTGCTTCAAACCTCAAGTATTAGGATTATGAGACATTATTCTTACATTTAAACTATCACATGTCGAATAAGACTATCATGTAGCCTGCCAGTGGTGGCTTGTACCTTTATTTTCAGCACTTGGGAGGCAGAGCCAAGCAGATCTCTGAGTTGGAAGGCAGTCTGTTCTACAAAGCAAGTTCCAGGACAACCAGGGCTACACAGAGAAATCCTGTCTTAAAAAAAATAGAGTAAAAAGACTATTATGTAATTTTGAAGAATGATTTAGAGCAAAAAAATAGGTATTCATATTGGAGTTGTTTAAAATCCTGCATTAATTACATCAGAAGTGTACAAATTTTATTTTTCCACAGAAAGATTCCCTAAGCAATTTGGACTGAAAAACCTAAGAGCAATGGAATCAAAAAAACAAGCACTTTCTGCACTAAATAACATTCACTATTAAAAGAAACCTAAGGCTATTTAGAATACAGCTTACTCCAGCTCTAAGGCAGTGACTCTATAGAAAGCATATGCGATACAAAGACTGATAAGGTCTTAAAAACTCACAAGATAGGCCTGCAGAGATAGTCCAGTCTTTAAAAGCACTTGCTATTCTTGTAGATGGCCCAACTTTGATTCCCAGCATCGACTTGGTGGCTCACAGTCATTGCTAAATCTAGTTCTGGGGGATCCAAAGGGACTTATATGTGCACATACATGCATTCATATAACACATTCATACACATAACTTAAACAAATCTTAAGAAATAATCCCTAAGAGCTAACTTGAAGAGCTCTCACTGATTTAATGACTGCAAATTCAAAGAGCAAGATAATGGAAATAGTGCTCAATCATAAAAGCACTTGACAAACAGCCTGAAGACCCTTTTCCAATGGAAAAAAAAATACCAAAAACCCCACCCTTTTAAAAAGCCAGATGTGGTGACCTACATCTGTAATCCTAGCACTCTTACAGTGAAGATGGAAGGCAGCAACAAGATCATTGGCCAGAAGCTCACCTATACAGTGCTACAGCTGAAACAAGAGATTCTTGCCTCAAAACAAGGTGGATGAATAGCTGTCTTCTGATCTCCACAAGTACACTGTGGCACAGGTATGCCCACCCCACACAAATGGTAACGATATGGTCATTAAAAGGCAAAAGTATGAGCCAGGTGATGGTGGTGCACACCTTTAATCCCAGCGAAACTCAGGAGGCAGAGGCAGGTGGATCTCTGAGTTTGAGGCCAGCCTGGTCTACAAGAGCTAGTTCCAGAACTGGCTCCAAAACTACAGAGAAACCCTGTCTCAAAAAAAAAAAAAAAGGATAAACTATGCTGAAATGAAATTTAAACGTTAAATTTAAGCAAATTCTAGACGATGTAAACTGCTCCACAGAGATGGGAAAAACAGGTTGCATAGGTGGAAAGCTAAAGAAGACAATGCAAAGAAACTCTGAGAGGTGCAGAAATCACTCTGATTGCAGTGAGGGTTTAGAGTGCTTCAGTTAACCAATGAAAGGACAGAGGGTGGAAGAGGGAGCGGAGGGAAGTGTGCACACCTCATTTCCCTAATACTGATGATAAGCAGCCAGGTGTGGTGACGCACACCTTTAATTCCAATAGGCGATCTACTAGGCAATAATGGCTACGGAGTCAAACCCTGGCTCCAAGAAAACAGATACAAACCAAGCACTAAGCTTGCCTCTTCCTTATGAACTGTATTTTAAGGTAAAAATGGACAGCTGATCAAAGTTCTAGCATGCTTTCTGGTTGCTGTGATAAAACTCTTACCAAAATCAACTTGGAGAGGAAAGGGTTTATTACAGCTGGTGGGTGTTTACAAGCCATCATCCAAGAAAGCCACAGCAGGAACTTGGAGGCAGGGACCTAAGCAGAGACCCCAGAGAGAGGCTCATTGGCTTGTTCCAATCCCTTAGACTGCGCAGGCCCATCTGCCGGGAAGGTAGCACCCTCAGTGTGCTGGGCCCTACCACAAAAGTTAGCAATTAGGAAAATGACGAAGAATTGTCCACAGGTTAAATCTGGTGACCACAGGTCAACCTGGTGAAGGCAATTCCTCAGACTGATGACTGAAACTGACAATGAGGTGGATTTTTTTGAGGGGGGGGGTGTCCTAATTGTGTGGTACCTACACTTGTGCACATTGTACAGACTGGAGGACTTCCAGCATCCGACATTATTCCCTTGACACGGAGTCTCTCGCTGCAATTACTCGGAGGCTATTCTCCTGTCTGGGTGTCCCACAGTGCTGGGGTTACAGGTGTGACGCATCTATGCGCAACCTTTTATGCGGGTCCTGGGGACTCAAAATAAGGTCCTCATCCTTGCACAGAAAGCCCTCTTACCCACCGGCCACCTCCTCGGACCCAAGAGAACGATTACATGTGTCTATATATAGACCAGGAAAGAAATGCAGAAAGACTAGTTTTACTGAGTGTAGCGGGGCACAGCCGCAATTTCAGCACTAGGGAAGCCGAAATAAGAGAATAGCGAGCTCGAGGCTTGCCTTACACCAGCGAGATCCTGAATCCGATTAAAAAAGAAGATAACAAAATAACAAAACCCTACAATTTAGAGATTAAATCTCTTCCTTCTGTAACTATTTGCCTTTGCGGTTTAAAAACTCTTCCTACTCGTTTCAACCTTGGCGTAACTAGTTCTTAACTTTTTAAAGACTGCATGACACGTTTTGTGCTGGTGACATACACACACACACACACCCCATAGCTTGGCGCAACTAGTTCTTAACTTTTTAAAGACTGCATGACACGTTTTGTGCTGGACACACACACACACACACACACACACACACACACACACACACACCCCTCCCTCCCCCGTAGCTTGCGGGGTTAGGGTTGCAGCCAGTAAGCGTGGCCTCAGGAAGTGTAGCGGCAGAACCCACGCCTCCTGCGGACACGCGCGAACGCCAAGACCGTATTTCCCCCCAATCAACGTCTTCTTCCTCCACAACTTTTTCCTCAGACTCCTTCGCCTCCCGACTCCACTCCGCGAATACCCACTTTCTGTGAGTCGGGTTCCTTCACTAGCACCCAAGACAGGAAAACCAAGACCATCTCGGAAGTCTTCCTTACCCGGCCTTGTCCGTGGCCCCTGGTGGCCCCTTCCATTTCTCCTTCTCCTTTTCTTTGTCTTTTTTGGCTCCGGCCGCAGTGGTCGAATCATCCTCGAAAACGCTGAAAAGCTCGTCTCCGAAAGCGTCCGCCATCTTTCGGAGTTCCGAGACCGAATCTCCCTCCTACCCAAGAGGCCCCGCGATCGCACCGACAGTGACGCCAATAGAGACTCTACGGTGGCCCGCAGGCATCAAAAATGAGCGAGTCTTGAGGCCCGTGTGACTTTTCCCCTTTTAGTCTGGCTTTTGACCCTTCTCTTCTTTTCCGACCCCTGCGGCGTGGGCAGTTCAGTCACCAGAAACCTAGCGCTAAATGACGCACGACACCAGACCGGCCGCTGGTTCCCGGGAGCCAAGAGGCGGAGCCTGGCGAAGCAAACCAATTGGACTGGAGCCCCAGCCGAGGAGCCCGGATGGAGGAGGCTGGGTGGAGGCGTGGGAGCCGGCTAACGTGAGGCGCTCTCCGGCGTCTGGTTTTGTGGCAGCCGGGATCTTGATCTGGAAGAACGCTCTCCTGCAGCTGAAACATGGGCGGCAAAAACAAGAAACACAAGGCGCCCGGAGCCGCGGCGGTGCGGGCTGCATTGTCTGCTTCCAGAGCCCGAAGTTCCGAGGCTGGAGCTGTTGGGGAAGCCCAAAGCAAGAAGCCCGTGGCCAGGCCGGCGCCCGCCGTACCCACCAGCGCTCGCGAGCCCCGAGTCAAGCAAGGTACGGCCCGATCCAGTGCACAGGCTTACGCTCTCAGTCCTTGCTCTCTGTCCAGCAGAGGATAGTCAGAGCCGTGCTGATGGGATCCGATCTTCCACACACGAGCTTGCTAGCTGTCGGTGGAGTGGGCGGCCTTGTAGATCTGTCTAAGGGCCTTTGGCCATTAAAGTTACGAAAGTAACTCCGTTACGGCATGACATCGTTTTTCTGACCCACTCGTTTTCTCCTTCTAAGAGCAAAGTAATGTCATCTACTGTAGAAACGGCAGGAATCTACCCTGAGCTGTCAAAACAGCTACTCTGCTAGTGCAGAGTAGTGAGTAGTACACAGTCGAGTCCTGTCCTGATGCCAGCGCTGTTTGCTGTCTGATCTTCTTTCACGCCTTCTTCGGTCGGCATCTATGCAGTGACCTTGTATGTTTCTTTTCTATGTCAGTATTTCCTAAGAATAACAGCACTTACACATTGAACACTGGATTAACGTACTGTAAAATCCCTGTGCTGCTCCTGTAGACTTGCATTTTTGCTTACTCTGCAGATTGATTTGATAACCTGAATGTGACTAGTACCTGCCACTATTACGGCGTTTCAAAAGTAGCAAAATTATGTGCTGTTTTGTTCTGTTTGCATTGCGTGTACTTATTGTGTCTCATCAAAAGCTTGCAAGCATATGTGTTTCTATATACACAGGTACTTATATATAAACTGGTGGTAATAAGACTGACAAAATAGAAGCGAAAACCTCTAGGGCAGCTTAGGAAACTAACTTATTAACCACACAGACATATTGCTTTATAGTTGTTAAGCTCCCACAAAGAAAAGTCTGGGAAGAGAGTTAACAGTTTATTTCTGCTTTTACAATGAGGACTAATGAAAAAGTTGACAGTCGAGTGACATTAGAGACTGTCCAGAAGTTAACTTTGTAAAGCCTTGGAGACGAACATGCCAAAGGTCTTGAGTTAAGAAAGAGCTTGGGCCTTTAATTCCAGCGCTCGGGAGACAGAGGCAGGCGGATGTCGGTGAGTTCGAGGCCAGCCTGGTCTACAGAGCTAGTTCCAGGACAGCCAAGGCTACATTCCTGTCTCGGAAAAAAACAAACAAAAACAGAAAGAAAGGAAGGAAGGAAAAAGGGAAAGAAAGAAAGAGCTTGGTGCTCTCGAGGAATTCGTAGAGTAAGCATTGCAGACAGAGGGGAAAAGATGACTGGCGAAATAAGCAAGTAGTACACTTAGATACTAGAAAGTAGTCCTTTGTAACTGCAAATTATTATTAGCTCTCTGGTTTCAGATATAACACATTTCCTCCCGAGTATTCATGAACAGTTGCAAACTGCAGACCAGGGTCTTTTTCTCTCCCTACCTCAACAGACTGTCTCACTGAATTCTCTCAAGCTTCTGATAGTCATTTGTTGTATTTTCTTCCTTTCCCTCCAGCCCTAAAACGTTAACTTTCTCCAGGTGTCTGCCCTTGACAGTGTGGCTCCCTTTTACAGCCCTCCCAGGAGAGGTCCCTGCTTACTTGTGTCTTTGCCATGGTATTGTCAACACCTTCCAGTCCTGTAGATGACTTCGCGTTGCCATGGTATTGTCAACACCTTCCAGTCCTGTAGATGACTTCGCATTGCCATTTCTTACACTGGCTTCGTTTCCAAGCTCAAGACACCATTCAGCATTTTCTTACACCGTTTTCCCATGTTTGCGTGTGTATGTGTGTGGGTGTGTGTGGGGGGGTGTTCTTGTTTATCCCAGATCAAAGGTTCCTTTCACAAATAGTTTTAACATCTGTTATTTGGTGTATTATGAATATACGCATGTGCACGTAAGAGGACAATTTGTGGGAGTTAGTTCTCTCCACTGCGTGGGTTCTGAGGATCAAACTCAGATCATCAGACCTGGCGGCAAGCTTCCTTATAACCTAGGCCATTTTGCTGGTTTCCTTGGTTTGCATTTAATCTTAACATACCCTTTGATTTGTCATGTCTGGTCTGCATTCTCATTTAAGTATTCACGTGGAGTACCGACAGAGCCTCTGAAAAGGTCCCTAGAGTTGTGCTCTTTTCTTCTCCAGTTAGTCCAACATGACAAAGGATTGATCTTTCAGAAATGCTACTTTGGTTGATCATGTCCGTGCTCTTCCATAGCATCCTAGTGACTGCACTAAGATCCAAACCATTCAACTAGCATAGAATTTAGTGTCTTTGCTAATCTGTTTTTGGCTGTTGTCAATCTGGTGTTTTCCTGGTTCCAAATAGAACTTGGCTTTCTGCCTCATCGTCTATTTTTTTCCTTGAATGGGATGTCATCTGTCCCTAAAAGCATCTACAAAAACCCTATACCACCCATTTCAGATATCAGCTCTTTTTTAAAGATTCTTCCTGACCTCTGTAGTCATGATTGTTTATATCATTCTTTTTGATATTTAAGTCCTTCTTTACATAAGGAATTATACATTTTATATAACTTGCAAAATTATAGTATATAATGGGTATGTGTTAACATCTCTGAAATATCTAGCCCAATGATTTTTGTAATTTAAAAAAAAATCTTTGGATAAATGACAAGAAGACAGTCAGAGGCGTTATTAACACCAATAAATTGAAAGGGGGTTACTTCCAAATTTGCACAATTTACCAAGCAGACGCTTCGTGAAAGACAGAAAATAGTAACTTGGTAAAAACTGGATGAGACTTCTGTTTTGGTTTGGAAAAGGGGTGGCTCCCCCAATAAAACATTTAAGCTGAGATAAAGCAAACAGTTGTTAGAATTCCTGGAGACAGTAATGAGGCAGAGGAAACAAGAAGCTCAAAGCCCTGAAGGAACAAATGTGGTAGGCATAAGAAGAATGTGTGGTGGGAATGGAAAGGCACGTATTAAAATGAGGCAGGCTAGAAACCAAATATGAGTGAGTACATCCCGTGTTCCTCTTTTTGGGTCTCAGGACCGCGAGGGGTACACCCACACACTGAGACAATGGGGATGTTCTATCGGGAACTCACCAAGGCCAGCTGGCCTGGGTCTGAAAAAGCCTGGGATAAAACCGGACTTGCTGAACATAGCAGACAATGAGGACTACTGAGAACTCAAGAACAATGGCAATGGGTTTTTGATCCTACTGCACGTACTGGCTTTGGGGGAGCCTAGGCAGTTTGGACGCTCACCTTACTAGACCTGGATGGAGGTGGGTGGTCCTTGGACTTCCCACAGGGCAGGGAACCCTGATTGCTCTTCGAGCTGATGAGGGAGGGGGCTTGATCGGGGGAGGGGAGGGAAATGGGAGGCGGTGGCGGGGAGGAGGCAGAAATCCTTAATAAATAAATAAATTTAAAATAAAATAAAATAAAATGAGGCAGGCACCTGGGAAGGGGCTAGACAAAGTCCAGCTGGGAGTGAGCACTGGTGGTAGTCCTGAATAGTGAGGAGACTAACTGCTTTGCATTCTTAGCTGACTGGGTCCAAAGTGCTGGCATCTGTGCACGTTCTCCTAGGTCCTAACAATTTCAGTTGTCTTTTTCATTGAACCCTCTTAGCACTTGCGATTTTCTGGCCACAGCTGATTCTGGTATTCATTTGCTTACATTACTCCCCCACGATATGAGCCCCATGAGGATAGGTGCTGAATTTTTTTTTTTTTTTACCACCAGAGTCCGTGTTTGAATGTTTGGCTGATGAAAAGGAAATTAGAGCTAACTCAAATGTTTTGGTGATAAGGGAGACATTAGCATGGTTGTGGATATGAAAAATAACACAATTTAAGAGGAACAGGCTTCAAGAAAGTCTTAGACAGTATGGAAGTGACTCTGTTTATTTCTTCTTTAATCGGTTGAATCACTTTGAAGATGCTGTGTGATACATGGTTACATGACCTTTTGGTTATAAATTTGGAATTTATTATACTTTTGTTTTAGAGATAGATGCTGCATACTGACACCCTTCTAGTTAGATTTCTATTAATTTCTACCATCTGAAATAAGTGATAAGGAAAATAGCTGTCATAAATCTTAAGCAGATGGCTCAGAGGTTAAGAGCATTGCCTGCTCTTCCAAAGGTCCTGAGTTCAATTCCCAGCAACCACATGGTGGCTCACAACCATCTGTAATGGGGTCTGGTGCCCTCTTCTGGCCTGCAGGCATATGCACAGACAGAATATTGTATACATAATAAATAAATAAATATTTTTAAAAAAAGAATGGAAACCAACTTTATTCATTGGCTATTTACTTAGAATTATTTTTATTGTATTTTGTCGTTGTTTGTTTTCTGTTTCTGTTTTGTTTTGATTTTGGTACAGGGTTTCTCTGTGTAGCCCTGGCTTTCCTTGACCTCTGTAGATCAAGCGGGCCTCAAATTCAGATCTGCCTGCCTCTGCCACTGGAATTAAAGGTGTGTGCCACCACCACCCATCTTGACTTAGAATTTTTTTTTTTTTTTTTTTTTTGGTTTTCTCGAGACAGGGTTTCTCTGTAGCTTTGGTGCCTGTCCTGGAACTAGCTCTTGTAGAAGTAGAGTTACTAATTTAGCAAGCATTTAAATAGCTACTTTCTCC